TTCCCTAGCCTCCAGCCCCAAATCATGTAAGAACAACAACAACAACAACAACAACAAATCACTCAGAATTGAGAAGGCTGATTCCCTTCAGGATCCAGGCCATGCTGTGCATTAGAGCTATAATTCCAATAAAGCACTGATCTGAAATAAAATTTGTCTTAGCTTCCTGTATACCAAACCACTCATAATACCTCTGATCCTATCTAACAGTTTCTGATATTGATAATTCCTGATTATTCTCCCTGCTTCATATAGATATTAGCATGCAAACTTCTGCCCCTTGCTATTGATTTGATTATTATTTACTTACTTATCAGTATGAATTTGTCATCTCACCTATATCCTCCCACACCCTTTTTGATCCTGTAAAATTTCAAATATGCATGTGTATAAATATGGTAGTATAATGTCTCTCCCTGATCCATTGCCAAGTGGATCAAGTGACCAAGTCCTGTACAATTTTGGTTCTTCTTTATTTCTTATTGCTTCAGAAACCACCACCCTACCTATTTGAGGCAAATCTTAGTAATGTCACCTAAAAAAACTAGTATTTATCATCAAAAGTATGAGGCACCTTTTTTTAAAATCACAGATATATACTAATAAATTGTTTAGAATGGTCAAATAAATCACCATATAAGAAATCTCAATGAATTACCCTATGAATGAAAAATGAATGTAAGTATTTCTAACTCATTTTTGAAAAGGGCATGTGTAGTCAGAAGTTTTCATGTGTTTCATCCATCCTGTAGCCTCTTGGACAAGTAAACACACAGAGGCTCATATTACTTACAAACTCTATAGTCTAACGGCTCAGGGTTCTCGCTAGCTAGCTTCTATAACTTAACCCATGGCAATTAATCTATAAATTGCCATGTGGCTGTGGCTTACCAGTACTTTTACATCTTGCTTCTCCTGGCAGCAGCTGGCATTTCCTCTGCTTTCTTCTTGTCGCTCCACCTGGACTTCCTGCCTGCCTCTAAGCTGCCTCGCCATAGGCCACATGACTTTATTTATCAATAAATCAGAGCAACACACATTCACAGAGTACAGAAATACATCCCACAGCACTTCCCCTTTTCTGTCTAATCAAAAAGGAAGGTTTAACTTTAACATAGTAAAATTACATATAATAGAACAGTCATCAAGCAAGAATTACAGTTACAATATCTAGTCTACTTATATTTGGCAAAATTAGTAAATATTTTACTATCTATCCTATTTTGTGAGTCTAAAGTTTTATATCTAATTTATTTTTTATCATAACCAAGGAAAATTATAACTATTTAGTCTTCAACTACATCAAAGACCCCAGAAGGATATAATATTACCTGAGTAAACAGGAAGTACATTGTAAGCAACTTTCAAAAATCTAGAATGACAGAGACAGCTGGCTGCCTGGACAGTCACTCATAGTTCCTCTGCAATGTCAAGGCATCCATCTTCAGCCTATAGACCTAGAGTTTCTCAGTTGCTTTTAACTCTGTCCTGTAGAATGTCTGTCAGTCTCCTCTGTGAAGCAGGAACCTGAAGGACCATTTCACCCTGTTTTGGCAAACTCAGTGGTTATTTTCCTCTGAGTCCTGTATGTCCAGTTTATACAATATATTATCAACAGTCCAGGCAAGAGCAGCTTCTTGCCTAAATGACTATTTTTGCCAAGAAGAAGATAACCTCTATATGGAGTGTCTTCAGTGCTCATCTTCCTCTTTGAAGTAAATTGGTGCTGCCAGGAGCAGACATGTCTCACTGCCCAGAAAATCTAAATTTTAAAAACATTTTAAATGCCATATTCTGTAGGTCTTTGAAGTGTTTGAAGATTACCTACCTAATTGAAATATATCTATATACCTAGAAAACTTAACTAACATGACTATAAGTTTATCATGGGTGACTAATTATTAATCTGTATTTCTTAATTATACATTGCAATTTCAAATGAGCTGTACAAACATAATACTTTAAACAAGAGTAGACATATATATATATATATATATATATATATATATATATATATATATATAAACAAAAGTAACTTTAAATTTGTATGAATAAACTAAAATCCATAGCAATGTAAAACATTTCAAATAAGTTGTTACTCTTTAAATGTAGATTCAGTAATCTATCCTTTTATCCTATCATATCTATATCCTATCCTCCAATAACAATTTGTAACAAACAACCTAAACAAAGACAAATATACATAATCCAGTTTTTGCAAATATGGGCATAGTTTTCTAGGCTACTTCCTGATGATTGTGTGTGCTGATAGTCTTATGGGGATCCTGAGAAAATTTGAAATAATGGTCAAGTCCTGGGAAGATTGTCTATAACCTTTTTTGATAGGTACCACCTGTTAAGGTTCAAGAGGTCTGGCTTGATCAAATCTGATCCATTTTAACCAAGAACAAATCCATAGCCTCTTGCTTCCTGTGGAAACAAAAACAGAGCCTCCTTTCCAAAGCAACATATCCTTAGATCCAAATTTTGAAGTCAAGATACTATATATATAAACTTAGAAGCCTTTACAGTCAAATGTGTCTCTGCAGTTAAAAATCGCAAAGACAATATAATCCAGACTCTGTGTGTGATTTCCATCTTCATGTGGCTATTTTTTATATTATTTTTACTATCTCTTTAATTTAAATCTACTTCTTTATATAACTGCATATATTCCCTTTTATCTCTTTTTTAAGTCTACATACATTTTTACACACATTATAAACTATTTAGAGGTTTATTTCATCTGAATCTGACTTATTGTGAATCTACAATCTTCTCTGACCAGGAGAGATGTTAAATTGTTAAACTGAGTGGCTAAGATTGAATCAGTAGCCCTGGCTGCTGACTCTGCTCATTTCAGGTTCCCAATATGGTGGAGGTAATTCACTGCCAGCTCTGGGAGCCATGCTCTCTGCTGACACTGGGAAGCAGTGGGTCCATGCCTCCATCCAGCATCATGTAGCCCAGAAACCTCTTTTTTATTTTTTTCTTATTTTTTTTTCCATACTAGCAAAAGCTAAATCCGCCATGCAGTTTGCTGCATGGCTTGGAGACGCCTGTGTGTGCTGCAGTAGGAATCCGCCATGCTGTATTCAAGATTGCATTCCATGAACCTGCCATACTGTAGTTCATGGCTTGCCTGAGACAAAACTAGGAAGCTGTTTTTAGCTCCATTTTAGAATCTCTTATCAAGTTCTCTGAGGTTTTAGGTGGAAATGAGCCAACACATTGGGCACCCAAATGTAGTCAGAAGTTTTTCTGCACCCGTCCTGCAGCTGCTCCAACAAGTAAACACACAGAGGTTTATATTACTTACAAACTGTATGGTCTAATGGCTCAAGCTTCTCTCTAGCTAGCTCCTATAACTTAACCCATTTCTACTAATCTATAAGTTGCCACGTGGCCATGGCTTACCAGTACTTTTACATCTTGCTTCTCCTGGCAGCGGCCAGTGTCTCCTCTGCTTTCTTTCTGTCCCTCCACCAGGATTTCCTGTCTGCCTCTAAGCTGCCTTGCCATAGGCCAAATGGCTTTATTTATCAATGAATCAGAGCAACATATATTCACAGCATACAGAAAGAAATCCCACAGCAGGCATTCTTTTTAATTTTTGAATTTATTCTTTCAGAATTTATTCATGTACACACAATATATTTTGACCACATCCACCTTCCAATCACCCCTTCCAGACCTTCCCTCTCATGTACCCCTCCAACTTTATATCTTACTCTTCTGTTTTTAATAATCCAGAGTCCAAAATTAGTTATACATAATTGTCTATGGATATAAAGCCATCTATTGAAACATATACAATCTACCCGTGGCAACATTCCTGAAGATAAATGACTCTTCTTCACCCAGCAGCCATGAGCTGCAAAGAACTCCCCAAATATCAGAAAGAGTACAGTACTGTGGGGGCTTATGGGACCCTGTTGTCTATTATTTGTTTTTATTCCTTCCTTTCATTTGTGTCCGTGTGCCAGTGTCTGCATGTGTGTGTGTGGGTACACATGTGTGTTACATGCTTTTGAGTGCATAAATGTATACTTATGCATGTCCACACAGAAACCAGAAGAGGGTATCAGCTGACTTCTCTCACTTTCCACTTTATTCCTTTGTGACAAGATCACTAGCCAAATTGGAAACTTGCCATTTTGTCTAGGATGACTGGCCAGAAAGATCTAATTTTCTCTACTCTCCACTTCTGGGGTTACAAGCATGTGTAGCTGTTCCCATATTTTATACACATGTTAGTAACTCCAACTGAGCTCCTTATGCTTGCACAGAACACACTCTTGCACAGAGTGCCATGTCCTCAGGTCCAGACTGTACAGCTTTTGGAATAAAGAAAATGTGAATTTCAGAAGAATTGAATGTTGACTATGAAGGCTGAGGTGGTGCAAATCCATAAATAAGATAGTATTCAAAAGTTCTAATTTCAGATATTAAAACTGAAGTTGTAAGCCTTTACAGCATGATATGGAGACTACAGTTAATTATAATACATAGTATATTCCCAGCTACAAAATTAGGCTTTAAGTGAAATCATAGAAAATGATGCAACTGTGAAGCAATTATGTGAAGCAATAAATGATCTTTGTTTTAACATTATTTCACTATGCAGTGTCATATATAAATGTAATATTGCCCTCCACAAAATGAATGTAATTGTTAGTGAAAACTTGAAAAGCAATAGTAACAGCGAGTGTAAGAACAACCTTACTGTGGAGTCATCAATGTGTGAACTGGGTTTTAAATCCCAGCAGAACTGAGCTACACCGAATGCTGATTCTTGGCTATTGATTAAGGAGTAAGCATGCCTGCTGTAGTCAATGCTACTCTGGTCATCTTTGTCATATATTTTCCTCAAGATGGGTTGTCAGATGAAGTTACTGATGGAAAGAGATAAAAGTCAATGGGTTTGATGTGCATTGTTTACCTGTCTTCTAAGTTTTCTGGCCACCAAGAGATCATTGTTCACAGGTTCATTCATTCCAGGAACTCTCACCCAGCCCTGTTGGATAGATTCTCAGATCTTTGATGCTAGCAACTGGAGATATGGGAATCAGGTGCCTGCTGCGTGCCACAGGTAAGTGGAAAAGAGTACTCTCATCTCCCTGTAGCTTTGCTGTTGTAGCATTTCTTACCCATAATTGTTAGTTTTTCTAGCAACAGTGTCATGTGACTGTGCTATTAACTCTTGGTGCTGCATTTCTTGGTTTGAGATTCCTCATGCTGTGCCTATAAGTACCAAAGAAAATGAAAACCCATAGTGAACAAAACCAAACTAAACTTTCAGCAAAAGCTGACATTTTACACAGAAAAGCAATCTATCAGAGAAGCTCACAGATTTGAATGAAAATAAAAATCTGCAAAATTTTCATCATCATTGTCATCATCATCATAATAGTAATAATAATAAATATTCAGTGTCTAAAATTGTGCAATGTGTTCTTGGATCTGACATAAAATGATTAATTGCACATCACAGTTTAAGAAATAGTTTTGTATTTTGTTTGTATCTCTTTTGGTTGCTCAATTTGGTTCACTTCCTTCTCTGTCATTGCCCCACTTTGGAGTTTTCTTTTCTGTCTTATATGAAGGGCCAGAAAAGACCAGGAAGGTGAGTATGAATATAAAATCATCATTAAGTACCCTGTGATAATGGAGGCAAACTTCACCTGGAGATGAATGTGTATATCCTACTTTCTATGCAGTGCAAATTAGCGATCAAAAAATGCCTCATATTCTTATCCTCAGGTAAATGTAATAAAGGCAATACTTTAACTAAGGCCCTCTTTACCCATTTGATAACCAAGATCAGCCATCATATCATCCATTGGGTTTTGCTTAATCAGCTAACTCTCAATCTTGGCATGGCTCTTCATCAATTAAACTGCCTTCTCTTATTTTCACACTGTGTGATTGGCTTTAGTTTTAATGAACTATTGTCTTGACTGAACAGGGGTTGCTACTTTTCATCAGAGATATCAAGAGTAGTTGTGGGTTTTCTTGTTTACCCAAGGTTTAGCTCCTTCTTTGTGAGGTTGGTTAGAGTGGTCTTAGAGTAGCTGGAGACATTTTAGAAGCTGTCTTTATCCAGAATTTAGTGTGTTGCAATTAGATGCAAACATAGATTAGATTGCCACAGTGTCTTGTACATGTTCCCAAAAAAGGATGGTGAGGCAATGGATTCCACCAGAGTCAGTTGGAGACTGCAGGGCTGTTCCCCCACCCCAGCACTCTACTTCCTCTTATCTGGTCAGCTTGCTTATCTCATATTTACCTGTAATCCCTATAATTTATCTTCAGAGTTTTCAGTGTCACAGTCTTAACCCTAACTTTCCTTTTAACTCTAACATTTGCTTTCTATGAGCAGTAAAAATGTCTGTTCAAAAACATGTCAGCAGAATCAGATATCTACAAAGCATGGCTATTCAATCTCAATGTGACACTGTCCTTGTATTTTCAGGGTCCTCCTTGGTAGGATTTGGGGAGGGAGGAGAAGTGGAAATTGAGAGAGTTGGAGAAAGATCAACCTTTAGGCAAAGATCCAGATGAGTGATAATGTGAAACGGGTTGCACCCACCTCAGAGAGCACAGAATTAATTATTTTATGGTATCCTATATGAGAGTAGGGAGAAGAAAACTATTATGTCCAAGTAAATAGCCCCAGGAGCAGGACACTTGAGCTAGACTTAGAGGATGGTTTTTGTCTCATATTTTTGTTTGTGCAGGTGAAGGAAAGGTCCTGAGGACACTCCTGCATCAAGGGTATATGGAATAGTTATGGGCTTATATAGTGCACAGTGGAATGTTTCTGGCTTCAGTCATTCTCCATTTGGGGGTCTGTTATCTGGAAATTTCTGGTCCCAGGATGGAGGAGACTTAGTTCTCATGACATCTGTGAAATGGTGTGTGAAGCATTTTGCATGAGCTAGAGGATATGAGGTCCAATACATATGGTCTATGCTTTTCTACTTTTCACTCATCTTCCTGAGAATATCAACATTACTGCAGGTTAAATGTCCCCTATAAACACTATCTCCATCAGCCATGTGCATCACTTGGGCACAAGGAATATGTTCAATGTGAGTGAAGATGTACCACATTTCTGAAACTTGTACTAGATCAGAGACTCAATACACACAAAATGTAGAGTATTTTAAATAACATGTATAGCAATATATATTTTTCTAATTACACATGAATACATGGTAGAATGCTAATGTCTAAACCCTCTTATATTATATAAAATATAGCATTGAAATCAATTTCACCTTCTTGTGGAACCCAGTACTCTTTTCATGGCACACATGCCTGGAACATTTGAATCAGATCATACTGATACTGATACTGAAAGAATACTTTCACAATATTAGATTCACTAACATTTCCTTATGGAGATGGGGTTTCATAGAGCATGTTTGTTGCCTGTTTCCCAAAAGGCAAATAAGCAGTAATGATTGCTGTGCTGGGAAAGAAACTCTTTGGTGGCGTACCTGTACTTCAGTTGACCATATTCCTCTAAGTAAGACCTCACACATACTCCTGGAAGTAACCTCAATTAAACTAATTGGATCACCAAGGTAGACTTAGGTAGAATAATTCCTTTGGATTGTTATTAGATTCTTGTCCCAGTTGGCTTTCTGATCCTGTGGTAAAAATAAAGAATTTAGGGAGGAAAGGATTTATGTTAGCTTACAATTACAATTCTCATAAAGAGAATTCAAGGCAAGAACACAAAGAATGAAATGAAGCAGAGACCAAAGAGGAATCTTGCTTATTGGCTTGCTTCCCATGGCTTACTCAGCTAGCTTTCTTATACAACTACAGGCCACCTGCCCAGGGGTGGCACTACCTGTGGTGCCTTGGGCCCTCCTACATCAATTACTACTCAAGAAAACACCTGCAGTTTTGTCTACAGGCCAATCGGAGCAAATAATACTTCAATAAAGATTCCCTCTTCCAAGCTATGACAGGTTTGTGTTGTTGACAAAATCAACCAGGGCATTTCTATTTCTGAGAATAATAAAAACAGATTCAACTAGAAAAGTCACCCAACATATGCATTCTTTTTGCATTGTGATTTTCTTCATATGGTGATTAGATTTAGTTCATACACAATGTGGGCTTAGAAGCCTGCACTGATAAAAGGGAGTCATAAATATAGAACAGAGCTTGTGGGTGTGGAATCTATGTACCAGCCTTGGAGGTACACATTGGTTCACTGGTGGGTTCACAGTTACAATAAGATGTATTTTCTCTTTTTCAGTAATGCAATACTCATCACAATTTACCATGACCACTGTAGTGAACTAATGTGGATGAGTTTAAGAGTCTTCTCTATGAGGCAGACAAAGACTATAACACCTGCAAGCAGAGCTAGAGCCCCAAAGGAACCCAATTAGAATATTTCCTCATATTTCTTTTTTAGCTCTTGGTGTCCTGCTTGTCTGGTCAATATTACAACTGAAGAATACTTCAGGTGAGTCTATTCATGGATTAAACTGGGGGAAAAGATAGTTAGGTATGGAATTTTCTACCCTGGAAGTGAAATGATCACTGTTAAGTGTTGAATTTTTTATGATCTTTATATTAAGTACCATTGCCCTATCTCTAACATCTTCATTGTCACCATCATTGTTTACATCACTTATCTGAAAAACAACATATAAGATTGCATTTGATGCTCATGATATCACTATGATAAGATACCATAATTATGAAGAAGACAAAATCCACACATGATAATTGATTCCCCAGAAGAGAACTGAAAGATGCTAGCCTCTGCTCTTGCCCTAAACTTGTGTCATTGCTGGCATTGTGATACGTGTTTTGAACTCAGGTCATCATACTTATAGATCAATATTACTTCAGAGCATATTTAAATAGGCAACTGAGGCATCTCCACAGCTCTTGAAGCTGAGTCTTCTGTAGACCCATTCCTGTCAGTCATTGATATAAGGAGCCACTCCTGATGGGAAGGCATTACTAACTTGTCCTCTGGTGATGAATGAAGACTTGATGGCTAAAGAAAGTTCCTAGGGAAGGAAAAGTAAGGCCTCCTAATTGAAATTTTACAGTTTGGAAAATAGATATTTATATAAGAATATGGCTATGGGAAGTCATTGTGAGCATTTATATCAAACAGTGGGATGGATACAAAGAAATCCCTCAAAGGACATGAGACAATGCATAAATGTACTGTGTGTTCTCTGCAGCATCCTGCCCTCAATGCAATGAAAATGCCTCCTGCTACAACAGCACTCATTGTATTTGTAATGATGGATTCTGGACAGGACCTGATAACAGAATAATTATTGAGCCCCATGTGAAATGTGAAGGTAAAGGAGTCTGTCTTTGTTTGCTTCTCATTGTTGTGATTAACACTGTAGGCAACCTGGGAAGGAAAGGGTTTCTTTCATCCTACACTTCGAGGTAACACTCTATTACAGACAGAAGCCAGGAACTCAAGGCAGGAAACTGGATATAGAAACTGAAACAGAAACCATGGAGGTGTGCTGCTTACTTGATTGCTCTTAGAGGCTTACTTAATATAGCGATTTGAATGAGAATGTTCTCCATAGGCTCATACATTTAACTGCTTTGTTCCCAGTTGGTGGAACTATTTGGGAAAGATTAGGAGGTGTGGGCTTGTTGAAGAAGGTGTGGCACTGCGGGGGAGCTTTGACGTTTTAAAGCTCATGACCCTCTCAGTTAGCTCTCTCTTTGCCTCCTGCCTATGGATCAACTGAGATGTAATCTCCCAATTACTGCTTTAGCACCATGTGTGCTTGTCAACTGCCATGCTTCATGTCATGATAAGCCCCCATCAAATGCTTTCTTTCATAAGTTGCCTTTGTCATAATGTCTCTTCACAAAAATACAACAATCTATGAAAGCATTTTTTTCAACTGAGGTCCCTTTTTCAAAAAGAGCCTTCATTGTGCCATGTTGACAAAAAACAAAAACAAAAACAAAAAACAACAAAAAACAAAGAGCATAAAGTTTTAGTTTAATTGTTATTGAAAATTCTTATGACCCTTGATCAAACATTGATAGGTCATGCAGATTTCAGAGATCTTTAGAAGAATCATTGACAATGTAAAGGTATTAACCAAGTATGCTTGTGTTATACTCTTTGGACAGACAGGGACCATGTGACTCTTTGGATCAAGAAATCTTTGATCTCTAGCCCTCTTTGTTTCATTTCCCTTGTGACAAAATACCCTGAAATAAGCAACTTTGAGAAGTAATAGTTTGTCTTAGCTCAATATACCAGATTATAGTCCATCACTATAGGAAAATCAAGGTGGAGGGAACGTTAAACAGCTATTCACAGCCACAATCATGAACAGAGGCAGAATGAATGATTTAAAGCCAGATATGAGGCAGCTATCTCCTTTTTCACTCAGTCTTGGGCCCAGCTCAAGAAATGGTTCTGTTCACATTCAGGGTGGAAGGTCATCCCACAGCAATTAACTCAATAAAATGAATCCCTCACAGGCATGCCCACAAGCTAACAGAATCCACAATATTCCTCATTGAGACTCCCTTCCCAGACCATTCTACCTTCTGTCATGCTGACAATTAAAACTAATAATCACAGCTCTAGTCCTAAATTGCATCAATTTGACAACTAAAACTAATCATTAAACAGTCCCCTCTCTTAAACTTCAACTCTGGTCTGCCAGAAGTAAAAATGGGTGTTCACAAAGACTGGTCATGTTATTATGGGAAGAAATCAGAATTCTGGGAGAACCTGCTGAGATTTCTAAGTTCTTATGTCCTAGAACCTCGAATTGGACCAGGGACATATATGCAGTGGGAACAAGAGAGTTATTTATAAAGAAAAAAATCAGTAATACTCCTAAAGGTAGAAGTAGATTGGTAACCTTAGAAAAGACAGAAGTTCACACTTTTTTTTTTTGTCAACATCAGTTCTGGTCCTTTGTAGATCATTTACATCACATCTACTTTCTCTGAGAATTTCTTAAGCTTTTCTTGGCCCTCACCCTATTTTATTAAATGTATCCCTGGTAAAAAGAGAATTGCAGTCTTTAAGCCAAATCTATTCCTTTATATAGAAGTGTTGATACCTCTCTCTCTTTCCACCTGTCTCTTGAGACAGTATGAGCATTGCGTCAGAAAAGCTTTGAGTGGTATTCTCTTTCAACCTTACCCTTATCCATTTCTAATAGTGAGCTCCTTTATCCTAACTTTATTCTTCTATTAGGTAAATTTTGTTAATGTGATAAACACCATGACCAAAAGTAACATATAGAAGAAACAGTTTGGTTTGGTTTATGGTTCCAGGAAAGGAGTCTACAATGATGAGGATAAGCATGGCATCAGGTATTTGTATAAACAGATAACATGAATGCTTCATGATATGGTTATAGGGGAAGTTTTTTTTTTGGAGATATATGAGATAGAGAATAGCCAGAGACATCTGGAAGGGTCCAAAGTGGAGAGAGAAAGAAAATCTAACATGGCCAGAAGACTGGAGATGGACATGGCTATCTGCAGGAGAGGGGAGATTAGCAGAGGATGGAGAGTAGAGAAAACACAGTGAGAGGAGCAAAACAGAGAGAGAGGAGGGCAGGGTTGTAAGGAGAATGAGTAGCTGGGGGATATCCAATGAGCTGGAGGGAGATTAGAATAGGGGAGGAGGTGAGAAGGGCTAGGAAGCTAACATGAACTTTGACATGTGTAACAAGTATTTGTGATACTGAGGGGACCTAGAGGACAGCATGAGTTTTGATATGGTAATAGGTACTACAAGTAGCCAGCCATATGTCCCTTTTATTTAAACTGTTATATTTGATACCTTGGCTGCCATAGGTTCATGGGCATCTCATGTGACAAAATGCATTTAGACCAACTTTAAATATTCCCTTAGTCTCTCATAGTCTATACAATGTTCAAAAGTCCAAAGTTAAAATTCTATTCTGAGACTCAATGGTCTCTTAACTGTGACCATTGTAAAACCAAAACACAAATTGTATGCTTGATACATGCGATGGCACAGAACATACATTACCTTTCCAAAGGGGTGTAATGGGGACATAGTGAGGAAAGATCACACCAAAGCAAATGAAACACAACAGGGTAAACCTCAAATGCTGAAGCTCCATGTCTGGTATCTGGGTCATTAACTAGTAAGGACTTAGATGGCTCTGCTCCTCTGAGCTTGCTGCCTCAACATAGTTCCCTGTTTCTCTTAAGCTGGTTCTGCTCCTTGTCTTAAGCTCTTCTTGGCAGGTATCTCATAGCTCTGGCAATTCCAATACTTAAGATCTCCACTGCAATACAGGTTTCACTTTTACAAATCCACACAGTAGACTCTCATGGCCTTCTCTCATGAATGCATGCCCTGGCCCACTTTGCCTTCCCCCAGGAGGTCCCTGAAACCACAGAAAGAGTCCAAAACACCCTCATTCTTGCACTATTCATGCCTCCAAAGCTGATAACTTGGTGACAAAAGTGCCAAGTTCTACTGCCATTCAGGATGGGTCCTTGCCTCCTTGGATCAGATTTGCAACATAGTTGCTGTGCATTCTCGCAACAAAAGCTCCTTAGGCCTTCTTTTTTTCTCATTTCAGTAGCTGATTGTAGTCTTGTCCTCAGGGCTCCTTTTCATTGTTCCAGTGCAGAGCAAGAGGTCTAACCTTGAGATTCTAACCTCCAACAATCACAGCCTCTTTGGGGGCACTGATAAACTTTCTAGGGCTCTTTTCTCTCTACAGTGCACACTTTAAGTTTCTTTCTGCCCTTTCTGATTTTCCTTATAGAAGTGAGTGAGATAATCAGTAATAACCAGGCACAGACTCAGAACTGTGCTGCCTTGAACTGTCCTCTGATGAGTAAATTAGTCAGTTATTTTTAAGTTTAGATGTGTACCAATTATCAGAAAAAGGGCAGAAAACATCTAGATTCTTTACTGAAGTATAACACAAGTAGCCTCTAATCCAGGGACTAACAGAGAACTTATTTCTTTCTGAGATCTCCTCTGCCTCAGACCTCTAATGTCCTCACTACTCCTTGCACTATTGTGTTTTGAGATCCTTCAATAACAGCTAATAAAGCTCTGCTTATAGAGTCAACCAGGTTTCTAGTCCAGACTTCCAAAGTCTTCCACTTTCCTCAAAAGGACAGCATGGTCAAGTCAATCACAGCAATAACTCCACTTCATAGTATCAACTTCATTTTGTGTTTTATATTATGTATATGGGTGTTTATCTGCATGCATGTCTGTGTGCCATATTCATGTGGTGCCCATGGAGGCTGGAAGGAGGTAACAGGTCCACTCCACTGGAACTGAAGTTACAGATGGTTAAAAGTTGCCATTTGGATTCTGGGAATTGTACTTGGGTCCTCTTAAAGAGTAGCCAGTGCTCTTAAACACTGATCTATCTCTTCAGCCCCTCAACTTCTGTGTTAGTTATACTTTTGTTGCTGTTATAAATGACATAACCAAAATCAATGCATGGAATAAAATGTTTGTTTTGGCTTATGGTTCCAGGGACAAAGTCCATAATGTCCCAAAGTCCAGGGAAAGCCATAGCATGAAGCAGTCAGAGATGATATATCACATCTCAAATACACACAGGAATCAGAAGGATCCAGGAGAAAGTGGGGCAACACCATAAATACTTAAAGACTGACCTCAGTGATATTCTTACTCCAATAGCCTTCTTAAACAGTGCTACCAACAGAGAGTAATTATTCAAATATTTGAGCCTGTAGGGAATATTTATTACTTAAACCACTACCATTCCCTTGTTGCTGGGTATATGCTTTGAGTCAATTTGACAAACTACATGAATCAGCATTAAAGAAGCTACCCAATCCTTACTTTGGAGATGTGACACAGTATTGGAGAAATTACTGCCACCATCACCTTGCCCCAAAATCCATTTCTCAGCTTTTAATCTATTCCACTATTCATTTTTTTCATTCATTTACTAGTACCTCATCACTATTCTTAGTATTATATAGGATACTTCAACGTCTGGAAGGTTGCTGTTGCCCACCTCATAGTTCTCTGGGAATTATTGCTTGTGCGTGTTACTCTACAAAGCACATGTGTGTTTTTTATTGACATTTGTGATAATTAATCTTCACTGTCAACTTGACTGTATTTGGAATAACACCTGTGGTCATATCTGTAAGGATTTTTCCAGTGAGTCTTCAATGAGGAAAGATGATTACCCTGAATGTGAATGACAGGACTCCTTAGACTTGAATTCCAGACTAAATGAAAAGGCAACAAAGAGAAAAAACAGCTTAGTACCAGTATTCATCTCTCTCTGAAGCCTGGTTGCTTATGCAATGTGACCAACTATATCTGTAGCTATGTCTTCCTTTTATCAATGACTGTTTCCCACACTTACATCACAAGTCAAAATAAACCATTACTTCCTTAAATTGCTTTTGGTATGTGTTTGGAGACATAATAAAAACAGTTTCTGAAGGAGGATTGCATTACATTTATAAATTAATTCAAGGACAACTGTCATCTTTATCATATTGATTTATCCTAACAAAGAACAAAGGTTATTGTTTGGTAAATTTACAAATTGAAATATAGCAGTAGAAACTCTACAAGCAAGAGAAAGCAAGTGATTTTTCTTCATTTGCAGATATTGATGAGTGTCTATTGGCGGTGCTGGTGTGCAAGGATGTGTCATATTGTAAAAATAAAATTGGAACTTACACATGCAGCTGTATAATAAAATACCCTATCTTCAACTGGGTAGCTGGCATTATTGATATTGATAATCCTGATTGTTACGGTAAGTCTATACATACATTTTTTCCATTATGCAAAGGGAGGTGGGTGGATAGAGCTTATGACAGCTATGCCACCATTGGCTGGAATATTAGAGTTATTTTTATATCTTCATTCCTCATCCCTTTGCTGTGCTGTATTTGATATTTTACAATGCAATGCCAACTAATCCATGGGATCAAATAAACATTTCCAAATAAAAACCTTCCAAGTTTGTCTCCAATACAGGTATCTTCCCTTGTTCTACAAATGGACAGCTCTGATTTTCTTCACAACTTCACAGCTTCTTTATCTTGAAATAATAACAAATTCAGTTCACATGTCAATCTGTATTCACAGTAAACCCCTTGAGTTCATACTAATACTCCCAAGCCTTTCTTTGTGTACAACTTCTTTCTACAGCAATGACAAATCAGCTTCTCAAGATTCACAATATATTTTACTGCTCAGGTCACATAGAATATCATGCTTTAAATAATGCTGCATGAAGAGGTAGTGCTTTCATTTACAAATTGATTTTAGTGAACAATTTAAAAAATTATATCAAGTTTTTTTCATGCAATAACTTTTGATGTTTCCCCTTCTCAAATTCCTCTTAGGTCCATGTCAGGTCCAAGTCACCTGATAGATCAACATCTTTGTGAAATCTGTGAACACCGTCCTATAAGAGCCAATTAGCTGCACATCAAATGACGCCTCTTTTTTTTGGGGGGGGGAATTCTTTTTTTTAATTTATTTTTTTTAATTTTATAATTTAATTTAATTTTACATATCTTTGAAGGCAAAGACTCCCCTGAGGATTGAGATCAACCTGGTAGATTCAGTCCAGGCAGGTCCAGTCCCCTCCTCCCAGGCTGAGCCAAGTGTCCCTGGATAAGCCCCAGGTTCCCGAACAGCCAGCTCACACACTGAGGACAGGTCTCGGTCCCACTGCCTGGATGCCTCCCAAACAGATCAAGCTAATCAACTGTCTCACTTATCCAGAGGGCCTGAACCTGTTGGGGGCTCCTCAGCTATTGGTAAAAGAAATAGATTCATCAGTCAAAGAAACAAATGACACCTCTTTAATGCCTATTTTCCTCAGCAATGACTGCCCTTCTTCTAGTGTGTTTCAATCAATATTGTTAATGAGGCCTTACCTGCTGATGAACAGATGTCACCAACAGCTTCTCTATGACATCCCATTAAACAGTTTTTTTGACTTTCAGATTATGCATTCTTTGTCTCATGGATAGATATGAAATAATAATAATAATAGTAATAATAATAATAATAATAATAATAATAATAATAATAATAATAATAATAAATTTTTAGCTTTCATGGCACTCAGACTGATCATATCCACCAGTCTCTTCTATAGCCTCATTAGCAAGGTTATAAAATATCTTTTGTATTTTATTTGTTTATTTAAAAGACTTCCCTAATCCATGTCAGATGATTAGCATTATTTTTTATTCTCAGTTATTAATAAAAATATTGTCTGACTGTAATTATCATTGTTTTTCATTCTCAGCTATTAATACAAGTGTTGTCTAACTGTAAATTGTGTATTTCTCTTCCTTTCTATTTCAAGTCAAACCTGGTACTATCTCCTCTAATTTTTTCTTGCTATCTTCCACTTATTACTTTATTTTTTCTATGAGTCCAAAGTTTTGGATCCCAGGTAGGGTTCTTTACCACAGATTTAATTTATAGTCTCTTATTTTTAATCCAGCCAGGTCTAGGGAATAGCCAATACCTGCATCTTATATTCCCACTTTTCTGCTTTCCCTGCCAAATCAAGAGACTAATGCAATACTCCCTCTCAGTGTGATTCCTCTCTTATCTGCCAAGCTCTTTCTGGGAAGAAACCTGAACTTAGTTGCATGTCTTTATGCACACAACAAAGGTCAAGCAATGGATGCCACAGATTGCTTATGACCTCCTCCCACATATGCTAATTTCAAGGATTGTAATATGTTTTCTACTCCATCAGCAGATTGGTGGGCATTCCTACAATGGCTTGATGGACTCCAATCATCAATGATGCCTGCCACTACATACCAAGTAGAAGATGGCCACTCTGTGATTCCTTCCACGGACACCCCACTCTCAGGCAGCTTACCCTCAGTCGCATATCCTACCTTCCATCACAGGAAAGGTAGCCATATTGGGATTGCTTCTGCAGACATCCATCATCACAAACACCAGACACTGTTACATGTCCTACAATCCAACACAGGGACCACACTGCTGTTGCTTTCAAAATCATCTCTGGTTTTGCTGATGCCATATGACTTTTCATGGATGATACGAATAAGTTATCTATTCACCAATGATTCTACCCACATCTAATTACTGAGCCAGTGAGTTTACTAGAGTTACTTACAAGAGTGTCATTGAGTGGTTACTAATAGGAGCTATTTCAGAAAGCCCACACAGCAGGGATTACAACTCTCCACAGATATGGAGCTCCCTGAAAGCATTTTTTTAAGGCAATTCATCTGATCTAACTAGAGAATCTTCTCTCCTCAGCAATTGCTACTGCTTATATAACCAAGGGAAGAGGGGCTTGAGAATATTCTAAGTTTCATAAACTTCTTTGAGGCTTCTGAATTTTGTTTACTTACTGAGTTTTAATGGGTCTTATCCAGAAGAGCAGGTTTCAATTCAGAGGACATAGCTACACAGCAAAGATACTATTTCCCTTCTAAAATCCTCACATAGTAAAAGCATGTCTAAGATCCAATGTAAAAATACATCACAATAGTAGCAAGGGCTTGGGAATGATAAAGGATTTGGTGAGAGGTAGGAAATGATACAAAAGGAAAACAGCATGGTATATGAACAAAGACCATTTACATATATATTATGATAGAAGAAATAACTTAAAATTCAGCTGTAGGGTACATTTTCAACTTTTTTAATGTTTTTGTTTATTTTTGAGAATTTATTTTGAAAATACATTTTTAAGACTTATCTTGAGAATACATTTTTATCATGTTTTTCCCCCTCCTACAACTTCTCTTTGATCCTTTCCTCTCATTATACATGCAACTATATGTTCTTTCTCTCTTAAAAAAATGCCAAAGCCAACTAAATAAACAGCAACAAAAACAATAAGAACATGGATGGGCTGCAGAGCAACCAGGAAAATATCCAGCATGAGGGTAATTGGAAAATAATTGTGAAGATGTGATGTTTTCCATATCTGATTTAAGTGTGATTTTTTTTCAGTGAACAATGGGAAGAAAATAGGAACACAAGCAGATATTTGGGTGAGTGGAACAATATCTTGGTTTGTAAATCATCTAGTTTGTCTTGCTGTGTAATTCTCTTGCATAAGCACTAAACTCATTCTTATTATAGAGTACTTCTCATTCACAGTCTATTTTGTCCTCTGCCCCAGGTAAACCTGGAAATATATGCATAGTAATTTTTGTTGTCATGATCTGGGGAGGTGTTATACCTACAACTAACTCATAAAATATCTGTGACTGTGACATTCTCACCCTTCTAACATGTCCAAGACAACCTTCTACCACTGAGAATTAACTACAATAAGATGTCCATGGAAATTGAGAAACTTTGGGGTGGATTTATAGTATTTCATCTTTCAGTCAAAGACTTGCGTAAAATGTCAATAATGTTTCACTCATCCCATAGCACAATGGCTAATGTTGTTAGCTTCTGGCACCAGGCAGCAAAACTTAGTCACATTCCTTGTTCTTTAAGTTTTGATAAGAATCTATATAATTGGCTATATTTTTGGAAAGGGAGTGTGGAGTCAACATGAATCCAAAAAGAACTTTGCAAAAAGAGCTACCACAGTACTTCACCAAGTGGGACGCCACATATTGAATGAATACTCAGGTGTACCAACGAAGGGTGAAAATTCTACACTGGGTATAGGTAAGAAATATCAAGCTGATTTATTATAGCATCATAAAAATGATTGGGTCCTGGTATACTCATGGCCTATGAGGAATAGAATTTGTTATTTCCCAGAACTGAAGACTTGATATATGAAACAACCACATGAGTAGCACTCTCCCCACACATGGAAGAGTTAAGGATGAGTTAGTCACATTTCATCACTATGACAGAATATCTGAGTAAATCCACCTCAAGCATGGAAGGTTTACCTGACAGTGGGTGAGCATGGTTGGGTCACAGCTTTTCATTTGGCTCTTTTGAGAAAGCCAACATGATGTGGGTCCATGCGCAGCGAGACAGAATATCATGGTTCTACCAAATGCTGGGCAGAAGGCAGAAAGAACAAACAAGGGCCAAGATGTACTTTTCAAAAGCAAACCCACAGTGGCTTATCTCCTCCAACTTACCCACTAGTTTCTAGTATCTTACAAAAATACCATTAATCTGTGAATCCAGTTATAAATAAATAAACTGATGATGTTAGAGGCCTTAAATAGAATCCCCAAAGACGTGGGTAATGAGGCCCAAAACATATTGTAGGATATTTACACAATTCTTACTTGTCCCAAGTGTGTATAGTGCATGCTTTTTTTGGAAAATGCCCAGAAGGGGAAGGGTGTCCAATCCTCTTTGCAATCTGGCTTCTTACATATGATAATATTGATGTAGCTCTCTCTAGCCCATATTCTTCTGTCACATGAAACAACCGATTAACTTAACTCTCAAGATCCAATCAATCACCTGTCAATAGCCACCAACTGAGGACAAAGCCTTCAGCATGTGGGCCTTATCAGGAGACATTTCACAATCAAATGATTAACAACTAGTAATAGTATTTACTATTATTATTGTTGTTGTTATTGTTATAATTGTGGAAGAACTCAATTTCTCATTATATTCAGTGTATGAAATGAAGAGGTGCAATAGTATGATTCTTCTGGAAGCTGGAAATAACACGATGAAGATTGACTGCACTAGTGCTCTCAAAGAAAACAAGAGTAGAGGTAATGTGTTTAAGATGAGCATATTCTCCTTCTTAGTGACTGGGCTGAGGGCCATTCACTCACAATTTCTCAGGGAGAGGAATTCTAACAGCAGGTAGAAAAGATCTTCCTTGACTACTCATTAGGCATACCCAGAGCCAAAGTTGAGGGGCTCTTATAAGGGCAGCATATTTTGCAGCATACACTGAAGTAAGAGCAGAATTGTACTGCTGTCTTTCCTGACAAATTACAGGCTTGTCAAATTTCAGTATGATAGTCTATCATCTTAAAATTCAACAGTGCCAGGAAATCATTGCCTTGCCCACTATTGCTTTTGAGATTTGCTTTATAAACACTTTATTTTTATTAAAGCAGTTACTCAGTTGCCCTCTATCTTGGCAAACTCATTCTTTTAAAAGACAATATGGCAAATATTGTAGGATTGGGGCTCTTTGTCATAACTATTGAACTTTTCTGAGTTTTTTTTTTGTAAATGCAGGCATAGATGATGTGCTGATAAAGGACCATGTCTGCATCAGTCAAACTTCCCATGCAAAGACAGAGAGCAGACTGGGTTTGACATCACCCTCAATAAATGTCTGAATAAAGAAGGGAGGGATGGGGTGGAGAATGAAGAAAGAAAAGATGGAAAATGCATATAAAGAATTTCAAATAGAAAGATTTGGTAATCTTGCAAGAGATGGCACTTCTGCTGTATTTACTCCACAAATTTCTAATACTCCTGCATCATCACTACTAATTGAAATCTGTAAATCCAAGGAAGATAAAGTTATAACAATGAGTTGATTTTTAAATTCTTTTTATTAATTTTATTTATTTATGTATTTTTTTTAGATATGAGTGCTCTGTCTGCATGTATGCCTACATGCCATAAGAGGGCATCTGATACCATTATAGATGGTTGTGAGCCACCATGTGGTTGCTAGAAATTGAACTCAGGACCTATGGAAGAGCAGTCAGTGCACTTAACCTCTGAGCCATCTCTCCAGCCCCCAATGAGTTGATTTTTAAAAGTGTAGTAAATAATAACAGAGGTGGTGATTGATTTTAGTCTAAAACAGGAGGTGTGTCTGAGGCTGCCCAAAGAGCATTGATCTCTGCTTTGACATGATTGGGATGAGGACCTACTGCTTTGATTTTTATATTTAGAAAAAATTCACCAACAATTCTAATTTCCCTGTACAATGATTCACATCCTAAAAGGGGTGCATCAAATGTAGGCTCATCTATTTCAGTGATGGAATGCTGTTCTGAGTCGAACCTCTCAACATTCAATAGATAGACCCATCTTTAATTTTCTACTGGAAGCTCTAACACCACTATAGGAGTTAGTATTTGACTAGACAAATGGTTTTCAGCATATTTTTTGTCATAATCAGGTGAGTATCAATAGAAACTAGTTTAATATTTACAGTGTTAGTTTTATTCTGGGGGTAATAAAGCAGTTCACTATCTAGAATGTCTTTACTATAAACCCGTACAACTTTCTTTAATTTTACATGGAATCAAAAAGCAAGATTTCTATAATATAGTAAAATCTACACCCTGTAAAATAACAAGAACACATGGATAATTCGAGTTTATGTATGTAACATAGAAATTAACTCCTAATTCCATGAAAATAGGAGGGATAAGAATAAAGGGATAAAAGAGAAAGAAAAAAGATGAGGGAAGGAGGAAGGTATAAAGAGGAAAGGAAGGTATGCTGTGGGATGTTCTGTATGGCAAATGTGTTGCTGATTAGTCAATAAGTAAAACACTGATTGGCCATTGGCTAGGCAGGAAGTGTAGGCGGGACAAGGAGGAGAATAAAGCTGGGAAGTGGAAGGCTGAGTCAGAGAGACACTGCCAGTTGCCATGATGAGAAACAGCATGTGAAGATGCCAGTAAGCCACGAGCCACGTGGCAAGGTATAGATTAATGGAGATGGATTAATTTAAGCTGTAAGAACAGTTAGCAAGAAGCCTGCCATGGTCATACAGTTTGTAAGCAATATAAGTCTCTGTGTTTACTTGGTCGGGTCTGAGGGGCTGTGGGACTGGCAGGTGAGAGAGATTTGTCCTGACTGTGGACCAGGCAGGAAAACTCTAGCTACAAATGGCGTCCAACGTGGTGGCAAGAGTTTCCACCTAAAAACTGAGAAAAAAAGATTCTAAAATGGAGCTAAAAACAGCTTCCTAATTGTCTCTCTCAAATGAGCGGCAGCTGCCGGTTTGAGCTACTTGTGGGTTCCTAGCGTGCGTGCTGGACCTGCAGTATGGTGGGAATGAGGCCTCTGAAAGTGGCACATTAAGTTGCATGGTGGATTTAGACTTTGCTAGTACAAAATTAAAAAAAAAAAGAGGTTTCTGGGCTACACGCTGCTTGGATAAAAGCATAGACCCATGATAGCTCCCAGAGCTGGCGGTAAACCACCGTCATGTTGGGAAGCTGAGGTGGGAGGAGCCAGCAGCCACAGCTGCTGCAGTTTAAAGCAACAGATTCACAATAAGACAGATTCAGATGTAATAGTTTACAATGTGTGTAAAAGATATGTAGGCTTGAAAGAGACAAAAAAGATGATATATAGAGTTATAGAAACAAATACATAGTTTTAAAAAATAAAGTCTTTAAAGAGACAGTAAATTAGTATAAAAAATAAGCCACGTAAAGATGAATATTACACAGAGAATCTGGATTGTGTTGTCTTTGGAATTTTTAACTGCAGAAAAACATTTGATCATAAAAGATATTGAGTTAAACCAATATGTATATTTTAAAGATACCATGACTTCAAAATTTGGATATAAGGATATGTTGCTTTGGAAAGGAGACTCTGCTTTTCTTCCCACAGAAAGGCAAAGGCTATGGATTTGTTCCAGATTAAGACACATCAGGTTTGACCAGCCAAGACCCCCTGAAAGGCCTCCGATGACACCATGGCCCAGATGATTCAACATCCAGAATGGTTTGAAGGCATCTGGCTCAGACAATACAGCCTCATGGACTATTCCATAATCCTAAAATTTTCTTTGTGTCCCCATAAGATACAGCGCCCCCCTCCAGCAGGAAGTAGTAAGAGAAGATACGCCCAAATTCCCAAATTATATGTAATTTTACTTTGTTAAGGTTAAAACCTTCCTTTTTGAAAAAAAAAAGGGGGGGGCGAAGTGCTGTGGGATGTACTGTATGGCAAATGTGTTGCTGATTAGTCAATAAATAAAACACTGATTGGCCATTGGCTAGGCAGGAAGTGTAGGCGGGACAAGGAGGAGAATAAAGCTGGGAAGTGGAAGGCTGAGTCAGAGAGACACTACCAGCTGCCACGATGAGAAACAGCATGTGAAGATGCCGGTAAGCCACAAGCCACGTGGCAAGGTATAGATTAATGGAGATGGATTAATTTGAGCTGTAGGAACAGTTAGCAAGAAGCCTGCCACAGCCATACGTTTGTAACCAATATAAGTCTCTGTGTTTACTTGGTCGGGTCTGAGGGGCTGTGGGACTGGCAGGTGAGAGAGATTTGTCCTGACTGTGGGCCAGGCAGGAAAACTCTGGCTACAAAGGTATATATAGATAGAGTAGAGAGTGAATGAGGATGAATAATTAGATAACTTTGAGGGAACTTGAAGTATAAGTGGTAATGCATTTTTCCTTAGTCTGATTGTCCTTTGGATCCCAGGTAATTGCTAACCATGCTTTACACATACACACACATACGCGCACACACACACACACACACACACACACACACACACACACACACACACACTTATATGTGCATATATATATATATATATATATATATATATATATATATACACACACACACACAGTGATTTTATATACACGTATATTGTCTTAGTTAGGTCTCTAATGCCATGATGAACCACCATGACCAAAAGCAACTTGAGGAAAAAAAAAGGATTTATTTCACTTACATTTCAAGTAACAGCTCATCATCAAGAGAAGTCAAAGCAGGAACTCAAACAGGGAAGGAACATGGAGGCAGGAGCTGATGCAGAGTTTAAGGAGGGTGCTGCTTACTGGCTTCCTCCCTACAGCCTGCTCAACCTGCTTTCTTATAGCACCTAGAGCTATCAGCCCAAGGATGCCACCATCCATCATTAGCTGGGACCTCCCACATCAATCATTAATTAAGAAAATGCCCTACAGGCTTGTTTGCAATCTGTCTTATGGAGGCATTTTCTCATTTGAGGATCCCTCCTTTTCAATTGTAGCTTGTGTCAAGTTGACATAATACTAGCTAACACATAGTGTCCTCTCCCTTCCTCCCTCTCTATCCCTTTCTCTCTCTCTCTCTCTCTCTCTCTCTCTCTCTCTCTCTCTCTCTCTCTCTCTGTGTATACATTTGTGTGTATCTGTGTGTAAAATTCCATGCCTAACAGTACTTATAGTATGTTATACATGCAATTTAAGGGATACCCATTAGTAATTGTACTAAACACATTATGCTTACTTCACGGTCCACATGTAAGACATTTGTGTATCAATCTTTTGTATTATATCTTCTTTTCCTCAGATGAGACTGCAGTTGCTCTTATTGCATATCAGTCCCTTGGGAAGTTTCTAAACGGATCCTTTTTTAGTAACAGTGAAGGAATGCAGAAAGTAAAATTGAGCTCTCTTATTGTGAGTGGTGCCATTCGTTCAGAAGTCAAACCTGTCCTGTCTGAACCTGTACTCCTGACTTTACAAAACACTCAGGTGAGCTTACTCTCAAAAGTCCTTTAAAAACAACTTTAAAGTTTATTTTTATTTCATGTGCGTGAGTGTTTTGCCCTCACGGACATCTGTGCACAAGAGCATATAGTGCTCACAGAAGACAGAGTGTAAGATCTCCTACAACTAGACTTCCTGACAGTGATGGGACACAATGTGGATGCTGGGTATAGAAATTGGGTCCTCTGTAAGAGCAGTTAATTCTCCTAAGTACTGAGATAATGCCCCTTTTGTGAAGTGTTTAAAGTGTCAGGTGGTCTAATCAAATTTCTAAAAAGAGACAAGACCTAACTGTGATCATTGTAAAATAAGAGAAATTATAAAACGTTGAGAAACTTCAATCCTATGTAACTTCATTGCTGTTATTATTTGTATTTTCATATCAACAGTCAATCAACCATGGTTAATAAAGGAGTCCACAGGCCCTAGTCTTCCACTGTGGAAGTATTCGATCAAAGAAGATGTTTTCACATGCCTCTAGATTCAAATGGGTACTTCAAAGCCTTTGGTCACACAGATAGTCCTATTTAAATTCATTGACAGTTGAAACAAAACAAGAGACATTAATGTTGAAAAAGGAATTATGGATAGCTAGGGTCACCAGGGCTGTGAGTGAGATTAAAGAGTGTGAGAGGACACACTAATAAGAGTACACTTTACATACATATGGAATTGTGAAGAGGACATTCAATATGTTACACAATTTTTAAAATTTCAAGTGTGTGTATTGATGGGAATGTAGAAAATAGAGAGTCATTGCAAAACGTAGTTGGGAATATATAGCCAGTAAGGAAAACAATATGGAACCTATCAAAAAATGAGAGAGGAAACTACAATGGAATCCATCAATCCCCCTGTTGCATACATCCAAAGGATAGAAACCAAGGTTTTTGAAAGAGACTGTACTTTCATAATTCCAGTAACATTAGTCACAGTAACCAAGACTTGGAGGGAAAATACTTAATCCATCCAGGGCAGGATATGTAAATAACATATAATAAATATTATAAAATATGATGTTGCTTTGGGTTATATAATTTCAAATGGTCAGATCTGAAAATAATCATAGGAGTAGTGACATTATATAGACTGAGCAGGTTGTGTTTAGGAAAATATATATACATATACATGTGACATAACATCGATTAATGGAAAAAAGATGTCAAGAATTTGAAAGAGAGCAAGGAAGGGTAAGTGGGAGTATTTGGAGGGAGGAAAGACAAAGGAGACATACTAGTCAGAGTTCTTTAAAAGAACTTAAATAATAGAATGACAGAAAGGCTAAGGATCCATTAGTTGTTCCATTCATTGTTCAGTCCATGAGACCAGATGTCTCAGCATTCCCAGTTTGGTGATTGAGTCCCAGCAATGTCCTAGAGAGCTGCTGGTCTTCAGTCTACTTTGGAATCCTGAAGAAGTAATATTCTAACACCAGTGAAAGAATGCTTCAGCATCAGGATAGATGAACTTGCCAGAGAGAGTGAGGGTAAACAGGCAAAAAAATCAGTACCTCTTTCTTCCATGTCCTTTTATGTGGGTTGCAGCAAGAAAGAGTAGATGAGATTTAGGAGGGTGTCTTCTGACCTCAAATGAACTAGATTTAGGGTGGATCCTCAGACCTTAAATAATACAATGAAGAAAAACCCCTGATATATATGCCCAAATACTTGGGTTTTAGTCAAATACAGGTTGTAGTCAACACAGGGAAAACGATGTAATTATAATTCCAAAAACAAAGCTAGTAATAAAAACAAAAAAAAAAAACATTGCCTTTCAGTGTCTCAACTGCAGGTCAAGTCCGATAAACCTTTTATGATCTCACTCAAATTGAAAAGCTAAACAGTAGAATTCATAGTTTCTGTATAATAGAGCCTACTAGGGGATAGATTTTTGTGGAAAATCAGGAAACATGGGCTGTAAAATCAAACTTTAAGTTATAGCATTTTGGAGACTTAATGTGACTTAGCATTAATAGGAGTGAATCTTGAGATGATTAAATACTTTTATTAATAGAAATTAAATATAAATGATTTTGGATAAATAATGACATTTCATACATTTATATAATGTATTAAAATTACATTCTTCCCTTCATGTTAATGTATTTTGGTCCTTCTGTTGTGCGACACATTTCCTAAAGAAATGAGCATAAATGTCTATTTACTCCAGATATGGAACCCTCAAGACAGCAAAGAAACCATACCAAAAAATTCAAATTTAGTGAAGAAATGAAATTGTTAGGGTAAAAGTGAGTGGCTACTCATCAGAGCACAGATGTCTAGAAGACAGGTTCTTCACAAAAGGACCAAGGGTGGGTGAGGTCCTTTTCATGAAACCTGGAAGCCCTGATATCTCTACATGTCTTGTAGGCAGCTTTAAAGCTCAAAAAGTCTTCTTTCCTCAGCAATCCTCAAAGTTTTTATAACCTTAAGGAAGGATGGGGCCTTGTGAATCAGGAATTTCCTGAGACTTCTGAGATATCCACTTCTTGAATCTCAAGGATGGAATGCTTCAGCTCAGAAGAAATTAGTATAACACATACTCACTGTATATCATTTTTTCAATTAAAACACAGTTGCCTCATTTCCCTTCTCTTTCCTTCCTTCAACACACTCTCACACACCCCACCTTTGCTCTTTCTCATATTCCTGGTCTCTTTTTTTTAATTGTTACTATTGCATACATATATTTAAAATAGTGTATTTTTCCAAGATAATCACTAAAATTATATGCTTATTAGCTTAGTTCTTATCTTAGTTAGGGTTTCGATTATTGGATACTTTCATAGCACTGTTCATCACTGAAGGAAATCAGGACAGGAACTCAAACAGGACAGGATCCTGGAGGCAGGAGCTGATGCACAGGCTACGGATGAGTGTTGCTTACTGGCTTGCTTCCATATGGCTTGGTCAGCCTGTATTCTTATAGAACCCAGGACTACCAGTCCAGGGATAGCACTACCCACGATGAACTGGGCTCTCTCCCATTGATGACTAATTGAGAAAATGCATTACAGCTCAATCTCATGGAGGCATTTCCTCAACTGAAGCTTCTTCCTCTCTGATGACTAGCTGTGTCAAGTTAACACACAAAACCAGCCAGTACAGCTCTAGTATTCCATTCATAAATCTGTGAATACACCCTGTACTTTAAATATATACATTTTAATTTGTGAATTATTTGGCACCTCAAAAAAGCGGAGAATGAAGTGCTAAGTCACATATGTACTTCCATAAATGGAAACTATTATCATGCTGAAACCTATGTAGGCAATGGGGCCATGGGAATTGTTGAGCATGCTGAGAGTCAGAGGTAGGAAAGAGGGACTATCCTTTTCCAGGGGGAGCCTGGAGCAGAAAGGGGGACTCAAAAAAGGCACTTGACATCTCTCTTCAAGTAGTGATCTCTCACTACAGCCCCTCATTTGTTTTGTCAGTGACAAGAAACTGGTAAGTCCATTCTAAGTCAATGCACAGGGCACTGAGATATGCATAAAGACAGAGAATAAATGATGAAACAAAAATCTATGTGAGATGAGAGGATGTGAAATGTTCCCACCTATGTTTTCTCAATCCAGTGTGTGTCAGATTAATCTTAAGTGGAGAAGTTAAAACATAGAGGTGCAGCAAAGATAGAAGGATCAGGAAAGGTGAGAGATGAGAAAGATTAGAGAGAAAGATTAGAAGGGAAATCATTAAATCACATATGCAACCCAATGTCACATATCCTAATTAAAGATAAAGAAAAGTTGGAATTATGAAACAAAAATCATGTTCCTTCATACTGTTTTCTTTGCAGCCCATTGACCCAAGAGCAGAACATCTCTGTGTCCATTGGGAAGGATCAGAGGAAGGAGGCAGTTGGTCCACTAAGGGCTGTTCTCACATGTACACCAATGACTCCTACACCATTTGCAAGTGTTTCCACCTGTCCAGCTTTGCTGTGCTCATGGCTCTATCCCTCGAGGTATCAAATCTCACAGGTCTCAGCAATAAAAGTCATATTACTTTAATATATGTCTATAAAAGATATCCAGAAAGAATAAGTTAATTGTAGGTTTAATGAGAGATGATTCCAAGAAACACCCTTAATAACAGTTGAGTGTGAACTTGTTGCCACCTCTGTTGTCTCACTGAAGCTGCATTGAAAGATTGATTGCCAAGGTTTAATCAACTGAACTGACTGACTAGGAATGTGTACTCTTCCCTCTTCCTCACTGACTCTTCCATTTACATCCCCCCTGAAGATACATGCTTGGTCAAAGATGCTGACCATCCAAGAAAGAGGAGGGCCATGCTTTTGTCAAATGTTTTGTTAGTTACTTTGCTGTTACTGTGATAAAATTTTGTGACTGAAAGCAATCTAAAGAGGGTTCATTTGGCCATCTGGTTCCAAAGGGATGTTGTGCATCATGGCACTGAAAGTGTGGCATCACATCAGAAGCAGGAAGCAGAGAGGTCACATTTTGTCCACAGATAGGAAGCAGAGAAAGCAAAAGAGAAGGGGAAATGGTGCACAGTTATAAACCTTCAACACCTCCCCAGAGTGGCATATACCCTTTGAAAAGAGAGTATCTCTTAAAGGCTCTGTAACTTCTCCAATGTACACCACCAACTGGGGAATCAATTTTGAAGTACACAAGCTGATGGGGACATTTCACTTCTGAACCCCTACAAAGTTACATGAGTAGCTTCTCTTCCCTGATAGAATTTCCAAACAAATGCCCAAAAAATACCAGTAGTGGATTGTGGAGATAAAATGGGAACAGTATGCGTGCCAATGCATACAGTATTTACAAGTTAATTGCTACTTTGGGTATATGTGTCTTATAGTACCCTTGGAAAATGCTTGGAATCAGTGTAGAACATTCAGTTCAGAGTTATCATAACTGAAGGATGGTGGATCTTGGGTATGACACATGACCTTTCTTCAGTAATTTTATTTCAGCTGTGTCCAGTGGTAGCATTTCATGAAAATTTCATAGTAACTAAAAAATAAAATCATGACTCAAGTCATTTTAAGAAATACAGTTGTGGAAACATCAGGTGGGTGGGTTAAGCAAAGCTGGGGAAATTCTGACTCTTCCATAAGTGTGTCTGGAGTAAGCACAACCCAGCAAGGAAAACCCTCATGTGTTGGGAAGTAAGGTCAGCAGACCCCAAAGTAGTAGGTTCCAAGGGGATCTGGAATGGAAGGCATTACTTCACGTGCAAGACAGTTACATCCAAACTTTCCCGGCTGAACCAAACTAAGGTAACTAGCTATCATCAAAGACTCAGCATGGCCCCCTAGAATTTTTAGATGTCAAATGAGTCTGAGATAACTTAAGTTGAAGGAAAGTCACCTAATGGCTTCCTATTAACATGAAATAACAAAATTATCAAAGCTCCTACTTCATAGAAAATAAAAATACTTATTCTAGGGCCAAATATCAGTGACAATGATCCAGAACAACAAATTCAGATTACTCTAAATACCAGGTTTTTATAGTAAGAGAACAAAGAAAATAGTGGATGAAGTCAATTCGAACACAATTGTGGAACATCAGATAGGTGGGTCTCAGTGAGCTTGGAAATCTGGTACAGCCTCAGAGGCTGAAGACATTTTGAGCCTTTCGGTTAGTAAAGGTTAGGGGTTTGCTTGTGTGTTTCAAAAGGATTTACAGAATATACATAAGGATGCTAGGTGGCACACTGGTGGTAATAGATGCTATCACAAGGCTAAAAACAACCATCATATTATTACTGCTATTCTGCAATGTTTCAGTTTTCCACAGTCACAGGTTTCAGTCAGTAAGTCAGCCTTGTAGAATGTTTAACACTTGTGACTGTTAGTATCTAATTTAAATTTGCACTCCTCTGTTTCACTTCAGCCCCTGTTTATTAACTATTTTACTATTCAATGTCCATCACGCTGTGTACTTCCACATTCGTGTTTCATTTAGTTAATATTTATTAAGTGAATAATGTGTGCTAAGCACTAATCTCAACTGTAATGGTACAACAAATAATGTGACATGACAAGGCCCCAGACTTCCTAATGCTGGTGTTCATGATGGCTGTAGTGTATACGTGGAGACTCTGACGTATTCTTCTGTGGCTTGTAGGAGGACTCTGTGCTTTCTGCACTGTCAGTGATCACCTACGTGGGACTGAGTCTTTCTCTATTGTGCCTATTCCTGGCGGCTGTCACCTTTCTCCTGTGCCAGCCCATACAGAATACAAGCACTACACTCCACCTACAGCTCTCCATCTGCCTCTTCCTGGCTGATCTCCTCTTCCTCACAGGCATCAACAGAACTGAGCCTAAGGTTAGTTACTTCATTGTCCTAATAAGTCATCTTGTCTGGAGCAAGCATGAAGAGAGGGATTCATCAGTAGAGATGTCTGGAGGAAACACAGGATGAAAATGTCAGCTCTCTTTATGTGTAGAATTGAAGAAATTTGTATATTTGATCATTTTAAAACTGAAAGCATTCCTAACAGCAGTGTTACCTGACAATGTTCTTGGTGTATGTGGTATCTGTATGTCTGTGTGTAGTGCACGGACATGCATGTACAGGTATGAGCAGGTATGTGTATGAATGTAGCTGCCAGAGCAGGGTGTCAGGTATCTATCTCTATTGTGTCCTCTTTATTGCCTTGAGACACAGTTTCTCACTGAATCAGGAGCTTGCTATTTTGGCTAGGGTGGCTGACCAGAGAGCTTTTGGGATGTATATACCTCCCCGACCCCATAGTGTTGGAGTTGTAGGCACCTACAGCCATGCAAAACTTTTATGTGGTTGTTGGGGATTTGAACTCATGTTCACATGTTTGCAAAGCAAGTGCTTTTACTCACTGAGTCATCCCCCAAGCCATAGCTAAGCTTCATAACATTTGTCAATAGAAGTAAACAAATACATTTGAAGTATGCCAATTCTTCACCTGCATGGTAAAGACACCTCTGTTATCATCTATACACAGCTTCAAAGTCACCCTGACTTGATCATCCCATGCTGTGTACACATGTTGAAATGCTATAACATACCACAGGACCATGTTAAATTAATAGGCATCCATTAAAATAATAATGCATGGTCTTGTTTCTGTAGTCAGCTACTTGGGAAGCTACAGGAGGATTGTGAGTCAGAGGTCAGCCCTGGCAATGTGGTAAGACTCTAGCTCAAAATAAATAAATAAAAACACAGAAAATTGGTGGGCTCATTAAGAAGAGATTGCTACACTGGGCTCACCACTCATCAATAGTTCATTGTTGATATTGTTAGTGGTTTCTGTAAAGAAGGACAAGGGTTTCCTTCTCACTGCCTCTGCTCCTCTGTCACAGGCTGATGTATAAAAGGAAGTATTCCCAGAAGTGGCCCTTTGAGCTTTGAATTCCTAGTTGCTAGAGGAAGCTAGGAACATCTGTCTATTAGGAAATCTATGGTCTTCAGTAAGGTGCTTTGCATCACTGAATGAACAGAGGCCAGATCAAGCTAATTAGCATATGCATTCTCTCTAAAGATTATCATCTTGTGTGGTGAGAATACTTGAAATCTACCCTTGGCAGTTTCTGAATACTGGGTATGATGCAAACTGATAGAGAAGTTACCTCACATGTTAAAGACTCTGCAAAAACAACCAAACCCCAAAGTAAATACATAAACAATAAAAAAACCCAGAAAGTGAAATACGAGATAAAACACATGCTTTATCTGTCTCCACTTACATGGTAATGATAAAATCTCCTTGTTAAAGAAGTGTTTTGTTTCTTACATGTTATTTATTTTTTATTTATTACCCTTATATATTTTGTTAATATTTTCCCATAAAGAGTTTTTGATATTAGAATCTGACTTCATAGAGTGATCAGGGAAGTAATTTTACAGTACAAGCTGCAAAGTATTTGTGATACTTATGGATCACTGTGGTGGTATTGTGTTCCCCAAAATATTGTGCACCCTAATAAACTTATCTGGGGTCAAAGACAGAACAGCCACTAGATACAAAGGCTAGAAAATGGTGGCACTAATGCCTTTAATCCTAGCATTCCAGAGGCAGAAATCCATGTGTTCAAGGATACAGCCAAGCATGGTGACTCACGCCTTTAATCCCAGAAAGCAAGCCTTTAATCCCAGGGAGTGATGGTAGAAAGCAGAAAGGTATAAAGGCGTGAGGACCAGAAACTAGCAGCATTTGACTGGTTAAGCTTTTAGACTTTGAGTAGCAGTTCAGCTGAGATCCACTGGGATGAGGACACAGAGGCTTCCAGCCTGAGGAAACAGGATCAGCTGAAAAACTGACAAGGTGAGGTGGCTGTGACTTGTTCTGTCTCTCTGATCTTCCAGCATTCACTCCAATACCTGGCTTCAGATTTGTTTTTATTAATAAGACCTTCTAAGATTCCTGCTACAGATCACAAGCGGGCATGTATTTTATAGCTCAATTTCCTAATATTTATTTCTATTATCATCTTATTTATGATGTGTAAACTTGGGTGTCCATCTACTGAAAGTGATGAAATCTCATCCTGAGAGAACATTTATTGTATCATGCAGCACTAATAAACAGTAAATGTTGTTCTCAGAGGGCTCATTATCATTTTCTTTAAACACAGATCTTGCAACTAAGAGTTGATGATGAACTTTTTTTTTTTTTTTTGCTTTTTATCTAAGACACATTCAGCTAGGAAGGAAAATAAAACCAATATGGAAAGAGTGTCAATGAATGGTTGCTTTCAAGAAAGTACCCAGCATAAACAATTGCAGGTAGATTCCACTGAAGACCTCCAGGAGGCAGTCTAGAGTAATGATATAGAGTTCTGTTTAAAGTTCCAGGTCTATGGAGTATGGGTCTACAAACCCTTGTGAATTACCAATCTGAGGCATGCTCTGACAATATCTTGGCATTTTCTGACCTAATTATTGATTCATGTGGAAAGTAAATTTCAATGAGCAAAAGGGGCTCCCTCAATGTGCATTGTCTCCAGGAAAAGGGCTAGAGAATCCTGTTGAGATCCCAGGCCAATACACAGTGAAAAAAAAGATACTGGGAATTGAACAAGTACAGCCTGCATCTGCCCCACACTCTCTTTTCTCTCTCCTAGGTGCTGTGCTCCCTCATTGCAGGAATGTTGCACTACCTCTACTTGGCTTCATTCATGTGGATGTTTCTTGAAGGGCTACACCTTTTTCTCACTGTGAGGAATCTTAAAGTGGCCAACTACAGCAGCTCAGGAAGATTCAAGAAGAGGTTCATGTACCCTGTAGGCTATGGAATCCCTGCCTTTATTGTCACTGTGTCTGCGATAGCTGGCCATGAAAATTATGGAACACACACCCAGTAAGCATAAAGTGTGCAAGCTAGAAATGTATAAATGTAACTTCAACACCAAACTTCTCATTGGACAACTAACCTATTTTTTATATTGTTCTTCAAACCACCCTGTCCGCATATTACTGTCTTACAAATCCCAATAGTGTTGGTTCTCAGTGTCTTGTTTTGCTATTGTTGGTTAACATTTATTCTAGCTATGACATGAAAAGTTGTCCATTCATATATACCATTTGTTGCCCATAATTATGTATATATTTGTTGGACAAATAGATCCTGTTTTATTTACTGAATTTTGGTTTGTTTGAGACATGGTCTCATGCATCCCAGATTGGCCTGAAACTCACTGTGTAGTCTAGGATGTCCTTGAGCTCCCCATCCTCTTGGCTCCACCTCCTAGGTGATTAAATGACAGGCCTTCATCCCCACATCCAGTTTGTACAATGGTGAGGGTAGAACCCAGGTATTTGTGCATGCAAGGTGAGAAGTCTCACAACTGGTCCATATCCTTTGTCTCAGATTTTCTAATTCTTAAACCCATAGTCTAATGGAAATCCTCAGCAGATTTGGCGTTTGATCACATTGAGAATTTTTGTAAAATGAGAAATCCATTCACAAACAAGTCCACAGACATAAAAAAATGAACCCAACTTCATGAAATTAAGAAATGGTTAAAACAATCCCACTAAATCCCCATTGACTATGTTTTCTAGGAACCACAAACAGTAGGTAGATATTAAGACCAATTCCCTGAATGACAGTACACAATGAGAAGAAAAATACCAAGTACCAAAGACTGGTTTGCTGCTTGTGTGTCTGTCAATATAACTCCATGATGATGGAAGTTCTTTATTTCGTTGATAAACCTGTGACAAAATGCCACATTAATTCTTTTCAACTGAGAGATATGCCTGATGTTCAGCTTGAACCCCACCCTTTTCTCATTATGAGGAATCTTAAACCCCACCACTCATCAGAATGATCTTGGAGACTGAATGGTAGACAAGACTGGGAGCAGGCACATTGTTTCAATAAAGGGCCAAACACTAAATATCTTAGGTTTATAGACCAACTAGTCTCTGTAGCAATAACTTTATATTACATTTCTATGGTAAAAGCAGCCACTGATGCTTTTATACAAAGAAAGGAGTGCAACTGAGTCCCAGTAAAATTCTACATACAAAATCTAAGTAGTTGATGACTGCATTTGCTACATGGTTGTAGTTTTTAATGCAAGAAGATAGCTTAAGAGCGGATGTTTACTGTATGGTAAATATTGACCATGGCACATTATAGTTATCAGATTCATAGTTCTATGCCAGGACCCAATTTAGAAAAAAAGTTCCACTAGATTTATTGACATTTTCCATGACAAAATGTGACAGTCTTCAATAAATAGAGTATTTTGTACATGAAATATGTTTAATTTTGGCTGGTTGAGTTAGCCTAGAGTTAACTATTGGTTTGACGGTCTTATTATCTCTACCAGTGTCATTATAACAGCTACATCCAAGGAGTCCTGACTTTTGCCCCCAAATTTACATGTTTCATCCCACTTAGCCTTAATTACAGCTTGCAGATGAGATACTTCATGAATGACCAATAAAAAAAGTTTAGAACAAATGGAGAACTGTTCATGTTTACAGAGAGAAAGAGTCAATCTTCCTAAGATGTTTTGCAAAAAATTGTTTTAAATATTTGAAACATTCAAAAATCCCAAAAAATTATCTTGTGTATATTGGAGAAATTATCAAAAGTCTAGTGGAGAAGGAATAAGATCCAGAATTAATAACCCAAAACTTCAGAGAAATGCAAGCAACTAAGTTTTAAATACCCATTGCTTCTCCAGTCATTTAATCTTTACCATATTTGAACACTTCCTACTTCAAACTTGGAAAAGCTGATGCTTAGTGCACCCAGCTCGTGTCAGACAAGAACTTCATCTGAAATCTAGCTTGGAAATAACTGTTCTGCACAGTGTTAGATCATATTTTGGGGCCTTTGCTCAACTCCTATAGTGAGAAAGAGCTAATTCTTATCTCCTGTCCACAGCTGCTGGCTCAGCATTCATAAAGCATTCATCTGGAGCTTCTTGGGTCCAGTAGCAGCCATTATCTTGGTAGGTGAATGTTGTGAGTGGGTGTGCCTACACTCACTTGGCCAAAAATAGAATGCACTTGTTATCTGTTAAATGGAATTGAAATGAAGATGTGCAACCAGAGCTCAGTTTGAAAGGACCTTGTTCCTGAATATATTGTCATCATTCATCTACCCCTCATTTGCTTATCTCCCTTTAGCTGATTTTTTTCAACTTTATTGTTGAGAATTTTATGTAAGTATACAAGGAACTATGGTTCTATTTACCACCTATTTCTTCCCTTTAATTCTCCCCCACAACTTGACATCCTCTTCTTTTTTTTTTAACATATCCAACTAAGTCAAATTAATACAGCCTATATGTGCATGGGTGTGGGGCCTAGCCTATCAGTGGCTATATACAAAAGGGGAATGTTAACTCTCTTTCCTTTTCTACCTATCAAGGCCACTCATTCCTTAGTTGGGGTGAAACCTCAATAGTTCCTTCCTCATCCATGCTGGATTTTTTATTGGCTTGATCTTACATGAGTGTTGTGTGGATAACCACAATGGCTGTGAGTTCATGAGCACAATAAGCATGTCATACACAGAAAACAGCATTCCCCAGCACCTTCCCCATCCTTCATCTCTTCTATTCTTTCTGGTTCCTCTATTGCAATTTAAAATATATAATATAGCAGTCCACCATGGATTGTTTTTAAAGTTCTAGATTCATTAGTTTATTTGTACTATCAGAAAATATTGAGTGAACATCCACCTACTCTGTTTCTACAAGATGGTTTCCTATTTTCTAGAAACTTCTTAATTAATACCTTTTGCCTAGGTCAGGAATGAATATTAGCTTTCTACTTTTAAAATGTCCTGTTTTGAATAAAACATATACAGAAAACTAAACAAGAAATGAAGGCAACTGTTTGCTGTACATAATACATCAGAGAATGTCCATGAAATCCTTATGGAGCATGAATTGTTTGGAGAATGAGTCTCAGATCCAACCAAATTTGTATTATATGAATAAAGGAGCCTAAAAGAAAATCCCACTACATTTTCTCATGCCATTCCCACAGATAAACCTGGTATTCTACTTTCAAACTATATGGATTTTAAGAAGCAAACTTTCTTCCCTCAATAAAGAAGTTTCAACTCTTCAGGACACCAAGTAAGAATGTACCAGAATCATCTCTTCCCATTGCAACATTTTCTAGGGGAGAAACCCTTGATGGAAAAAATGATAATGGGTGTAGCTGTGGTTCATAGATAAGAGTCTTGGTTAACATGTATGAAGCTCTGGCTCCCATACTCAGACCAACAAGCAAAAAGACAAAAACATACAAATGTAGACAACATACCCACCCCCTGGTCATAATTAGGGACAATGAATAGAAGAAGTAAGAAAATTCTGTATTTCAAATAAACTAGTGTATTTCTTCAGTTATGTACTAAAGAAATTTTTATTAATTTTTGACCAATACATGTTAAGGGAGAAAGGACCTATTTTACTGCACAGGTCTTGAACTGTGTATAGTTCACAGTCATAGGGAGGTCAAGGAAAGTAGATCTTGAAGTACCTGGCCTTACTTCATCTACAAATGAAAAGAATATGGTGATGAATGCGTGCACATATACAGATCCCTTTCTACATTTTATACAGGAAAGCGTCCCAGCTGAGCAGATGATGCTGCCCACATTGGGCAGGGCTTCCTTCCTCAATTACTGTAATCAAGATAATCCATCACAGACATTCCCAGATGTCAACCTTAATTTTAATACTCCCTCACAGGTGTTCTCAGAAGCAGACCATTTAGGTGATTTTAGTTCCTACTAAGTAGACAATTGATATATCACATTTCCAATCCTTATTAACTTGATATCCAAACACTTCATTTTCAAACCATTACATTCTACTCTTTGTTCTCACAGGCTCACAGCCTTCTCATAATGGAAAATTCATGCAGTCTAAATAAAAAACTCCCATAGACATTAACTGTTTCAACATCTTAAAAAAACCACCAAAATTCCTCAAGTGTGAGCTGCTATAATTTTTTCTTTTATTCTTCTTTCATACATTATATCCTAACTAAAGTTTTCCCCCCTGCTTCTCCTCCCAGTCCCTCCTCCCCGTCTCCTTTTCCCCAGATCCATTACCCTTCCAAAAAAAGATTAGGCCTCTCAGGGTTTTCCACTGAACATGGCTTTAAAAGCTACAATAAGACTAGGCACAAACCCCCATATCAAAGCTGGGTGAGGCAACCCACTAGGAGGAAAAGGGTCCCAAGAGCAAGTGAAGGGGTAAGACACAGTCCACTCCAACTGCTGGGACCCTTGCAAGAACACCAAGCTACACAACAATAAGGTATAGGCAGAGGACCTAGCTTAGACCTGTACAGAGTCTGAGTTTATTGCTTCAGTCTCTGGGAGCCCCTGTGAGCTCCACATACTTGATTATGTGGGCTGTGTTCTCATGGTATCCTCTACCCCTCTGGCTCCTACAATTTTTCCTCCCCTATTTCTGCAGTTTTTCCCTGTCTCCACCTAATGTTTGTTTGTGGACCTCTGTATCAGCTCCCATTAATTGCTGCATGATGCCCCTCTGATGACAATTTGGCTAGACACCAATCTATACATATAACAGAATATCATTAGGAAACATTTCATTGACTATTTTGTTTGCCAATCATATTTGTTTCTATCAGGGATCTCTGGCCCATCCTGCCTCTGGTTCCTGGCCATCCAGGCAATGACATGTATGGGATCACTCTTGTGGTGTGAGCTTCAAGTTGGACTAGTCATTGGTTGGTCACTCACACAAGTTCTGCATGACCATTACCCCAGCACATTTTGCAGACAGGACAGATATGCATTTTTTAATAAGCAAAATATTTCCAAAATACTGTAACACAACACATAAAAATATGGTTTCCATATAAATATGGTTTCACTATAAACATATAGTGAAAGTCTGATGAACAGTATATAACTTTATTGTCATTGTTTTCTTCCAGGATGATGACATTTAAAGCCATTGTTCATCTATTTGTATTGGGATGTTCTTGGGGCATTGGCTTATTTATGGTCATTGAATTCGGGAAGACAGTGAGATTAATCATTGCCTATCTATTCACCATCATCAATGTCCTACAGGGGGTTTTGATATTTGTGATACACTGTCTGCTTAATCGCCAGGTAAGGCTGTCTCATTTCTTAACAACCTAGCACCAAAATTATCTTAAACCACTTGTTCACATTCTTGGAGTTTCTCATTTTTATTTTGAAATCTTCATTTATTTAAAGTAGTTTCAAGTTTTGTCTATATATTTCACACATTGTGTTTTGTATCTTGTCAGCATCTAAGCATACCTCTTAAGGGCATGTCAAAATGAGGTGGGCTATGGTGCATTAATAAATGGTACTTTCTTACCAATTTTTCAACCATGGTAGCTTAAAAATTTAGGATTTCTTTCTTATCCATTGTATATAATTGTCACTTGGTTGAATTAGTCTTTGTGAAATGAAAAAGTTTTTACTTGACAGTGATTTAGGCTGGCATTATGGACACAATGTGGGATAATATTTGTCTCATATAAATGGGAAGGAGAATGTATGTAAACTACACCTTAGATCTTAAAGGTTATACATAGCAGTTACAGATATCATTTCTACACACCTTTGATTATTCAAAACAAGCTTCATGATCAAATTTCAGTTCACCAGGGAGGTGATGGGTAGTTCCCCTGTTGTGAGTTGTATTGTATAGGGTAACACTAGGAAATTTGGCACAATGCACCTCACCCTCAGTTCTTCTGTTTAGTAGTTTGTTTTGTGACCTCAAGGAGGATGTCTATTCTCTCTGAGTCTACCTTATCATCTGGAAGTATTATAATGTCTTATTTTGAAGGGTTAGGATTCTCTAACACAGTACAATATCATTCAGGAGCACATGTCATTTTTTGTGACTGTCACTTTGATTATAACTTTATCTCTATTAAAAACAATCTTCGGTGAACTTTTTGTTTGTTTGCTGTTGAATGTAAATAGCAACAGTTAAAGTGATAATACAAATGTACCATCAATATAGTATTTCATTAATTCCTTTTCAATATTTTGTGCCCCCTCTATGTTTGTTACTCCTCCCTCACAGTGAAATGACTTAGGAAAAGTTAGGTTACCTTGACTACATACCTCCTCCCCTCTGGAGGCTTGTTATTAAATAGTTTCTCCCTTCTGATAAAAGATGCTTACAAGGTATTTTACAGATCAAATGGTTCCTTCTTCCCTGCTAGGAGATGATCATATGCAAATAAAAGTTTTCTCTGAAGATATGAGTCTTGTGTGATGTTTTACAGATTAAAGGCCCCCTATTTCCTTTTGGTTGTAAAACAGTCCCTTGGCCTGCAACTTATGTGATAGAATTACAGCCTTTTAACTTTAAAAACCCTTACCCTATCTTGATTCACTTCCAAGAGGTTTGGGGTTTTTTTTTTTTTATGAAGGCTAGTCTGCTCTTGGTAAGCTTTCTAATAATGAAGGACTCACTATATTCTTAATGGATCTAGTGTGCATGGCAATCTATAACTTTTTTAAGTTAATTATTTCAACAGAAGTAAAATGCAATGTGGGTGTCTTTGTGAAATAATATTGAGGAGCAAAAAGTTCAAATTATATTTTTAATATGACAATTATTTTAGAAAGGCATATCATGGAATTGTATAGTGCACTTTTATGTACACTGTTAAATGTTACTTTCATAGGACTTAGATTATATCAACTTAATTAGAGATTAAAGATGGATTTTTTTCTATTGAATTCATGTGAAAGTTAAAAGTTATGCTGCTTAAGTGCCTCACATATATCTATTGTTCAGTAAATTTTTCCCACCATTATCACACTCTTATCATGCTTTGCCTCTTCATCTTCATCACTATCACCATCATCATTCTATCATTGTCTTGCTCACTGTCATCACTATCACATCCATCATCATAGTCATCTTATTACCACTATAATTATTATAACCATCTTCATCTTCATTATTGTCATCATTCTCATCACTGTTGCCACCAATCATCATATTTTTCAGTATTGACACTATCATAATTATGATGATCACCATCATATTTACTACCATCATCAATATTACTATCATCATCATCATCATCATCATCATCACCACCACTTTGGTCACTGTCACCATATTACATAATCATCATCATTATCAACCCTAACTGTGACTACTATGATCATTAGCATTATTTTTATTATCACTAACATTCTCATGATTATCATTATGACCATTATGACAATCCTTATCTTCATTATCACCATCACTACCATCATATTCAGCAGTATCACAATCATACAATTATATTAATCACCACCATTTTCATTATCATCATCAGTGTCATTATTACCACTAGCAACATCATCAAATCCTTTGGGTATTTAACATAGATTCCTTTTTATAATGGAAGAAATTGAATTTAAATAAAATTAACAAGCTCAAATATATGCAGAAAAACAATAAGAGTAGGATTTGGCATTCATGTCTTTTGTATCCCATGTTATGCAGATTCCCTTTCCTTGAACCAGGTTCAAGGTGTGAGCCATGCTTCTAATTATTCATTCAAACTTCCAGGTCCGAACGGAATATAAGAAGTGGTTTTATAAGATGCAGAAAGGGGTTGAAAATGAAAGCACTGAGATGTCTTATTCTACTACTCACACCAAAATGGTAAGCTCAACTCCCCAGGAAGGCTTCATGTGACCTGATCTGGTTTCTCATTCAAACACGTTTCCTCTCTGTTCCTTAAAAAAAGAAATTAAAAATATGGCCTACAGTATACAGCCAACAGTTTATAGATTTGGCACTCAAATTCCTGCCTTCATTCCCTAATTTTTTTCTCGCCTCCCTCCCTTCATTGCTTCTTTTCTTGATCCTGTCTTCTCTCTCTACTCCACTCACATCTCTTTACTCTTCAATATTCCTTCCTCTATTCCTTCTTCCTCTTCCAATCTCTTCTATCTTTTTTCTGTTCACTATCATGAGTATGTATATATTCACCTCGGAAGACTCAAGTCAGTACTCATTAGACATAAACAGTGAAAAATCTGTAAAGCAGTACAGGATGGTTCAGCCTCTGGTAAGATCAGATTTTTGTAGTGGAGTTGTGAACTGAGAGTTTCCCTGTCCTCTGCCTTGGTGCTTTCCAGCCTGTTTCCTTTGAGAAAAGACACATAACTAATCTTCCTTCTCCTTACTGAGGCCCTGACCACCCTCTGCTATGCTCTTCACTCCACATCAGAACATGGCCTTTCTATGCTCACATCCCTCCCTATATATGACTATCTCAGTCCCTGCAGCTATGGGAGTTTGTCCATAGACTCTGTGAATCAAGATTTTTTTTCCAAGTATTATGTTCTTCTGAGAAATTTGGCCAATAAAAAAATAGGACCCTTCTCAAGAAGGTTCCTGCTTCTGGTTCACTGGCTCCTATGAGCCATAGAACTGAGTTCTTATATTATGTTAACTTTCTGAGCAGGAAGAGTCACACCCATACCCACCCCTTCCCATACCCAAAGGCACTAAGATCTGTGCAATTGTGGGTTTGAGAGATAGTACATTCACTATAGTGTTTGCCTGAAAACATGAGGCCTAATTTCTATCCCTGGCACCTATAGAAAAAAAACCAGGCATGTTGTTGCATGTCTGTAATCTCAGCACTGAACAGAGTCAAAGCTCTATGAGCTCCCTGGACAGGAGTAGGTGAGCCCTTGACCAGTTACAGATGCTGTTAAAAATGAATGGATTTTGAAAAATAACACTGGTGGCTGTCCTCTGACCTCCATTTGTGTGTATATCCATGTACACATGCACCTATACAAACACTTGAATGCATACACTTTATGTGAAGTTTAATCACTTTAGCTGTTGCTATGTAGTTATTTCTAGGTAGCCTTATGCTTGTGCCATCTAGTTCCCATACAGTTTACTTTCAAAGTACAGCAATGAATCTTCATGAGAGTTATATATATATATATATATATATATATATATATATATATATATATATATATATATATATATATATATAAAGACTTCAAGGTAGTGCATGATAAAATTACCCATTGGCATTTTGTATGTTCAGAAAACTGATTAGACTGAGCAATTTATTGGGAAGCCACAGACTCTTGAGTGCTGAGAGTTTTGCTCCTGAGCTCATTTTCCTTTGTGGCCATGGTGGTATGCTGTGTCCATGGATCTGTTAATATGGATAATAGTCCCTTTGAGGGGGACCTGTTAGTATAGATAATAATCTATTTAAGGATAAAGGACTGGGGAGATGGCTTAGTGAGTAAATAAAGCATTTGTTATACACAAGTGGGAACTTGGGTTCACATCCCACGTCCCCATGTAATGCTGATGTATTATTAACGCAATTTTTAATCCCAGTGCTAATGCATCAAGATGGGAGAGAGACACAGGAGAATGTCCAGACATTCAGGAGCACTATCTGATAAACACATCAGCAAACACAACACCCTGTCTCAAACAAGGTTGGAGGCTACAAATGACAACTGAGGCTGTCCACTGACCTCCATGTGGAAGACAGGCATGTGTTCACTTGCACTTACACACATGAACACACACACATACACACACACACACACACACACACACACACACACACACACACACACACAATTCATACAGAGTGCACGAAAGACAAATGAGTATAATGATTCTCTTGAAGGGAAGGAAAATGTGCAGCATTAACAAATGACAATAAAAATCAATGGGTGTGGTTTCACACCTCTATTAAAGAAGGTCTGTACAAGGTGTCAAATTTCATTCAAAAGATTAGAGAGATCCATCAGGACAGTCAGGTCAGAGAAACATGCACTGTTCTGCAAGGAGACTGTACGTTCCTTGTCCTCCTCTTTTCTATTCTTCCTTTCCCTCTCCTCCTCTCCCCTCCTTTTGCTTGCCTTCCCTACTTTTCCTTTATTTTCTCCCCTCTCCATGCTCTTCTTTACTTTCCCATTTTCTGGTTAATATTCGTTGTCAACTTACCTGGATTTAAGATCACCCAAAAGATTTACATCTGGTTTTTCTGTGTGTGAGTGTTTCCAAAGAGATATAATTAGGGAAGATGTACTGAACATAGGTGGCACCTTCTGCTGGCATGGGGTATTATATTGAATCAAAATGGAAAAAGAGAAATATATAATAGTGAACAACCTCCTTTCTATGGTTCCTGATCTTCCCAGTTGTGAGAGTCAGCTTCACATTGCTATACATGGGAACTGGTCCCGCCACTCTTCCTTTCATCCCATAATTCACTATACCCTGAACCATGAATGAAAACAAACCCTTCCTTTCTCTAGTTATTTCTCAGTCACTTCCCAAATTCACTTTGTTTTCTTCTTGATGAACAGATCAATTGATAATAAAGATAAGATTCACTGTAATATTTCTAACATACAGGTAACATTTTAAAATCAAATACTACATCTAGTTAATGTGTCTCTTGGCCTAGCTGTTTTTATTCTGTATTAAACATTAGCTGGCATTCAACATTAAAATACAGATTTTTTCTTTATCTTGTCTTAATTTCTGTGTCTATAGTACATTTCACTAAAATTAATGTCCTCTATCTCCATCCATGTTTTCTTTAATTTAAAAAATCATATCTAACTGGGTGGAGGTCATTTATGCCTTTAATCCCAGGATTCAGGCAGGCAGATCTTTGTGAGTTTGAGGCTAGTCTGTTCTACAGAGTTGATTCCAGGACAGCCAGGACTCACACAGAGAAACTCTATCAAAACAAAAAAAAGAAAAAATCATTAATTTATTTTATGTAATTTAGTGTTTTTGTCTATGTACTGGTGTCCACAGAGGTCAGAAGAGGGCATCAGAAACCTTGGAACTGGAGTTACAGACAGTTATGAAATACCATGTTGTGCAAGAAATTACACTCAGATTCTCTGAAGAGCTTCTGTTGCTCTTAACTGTCAAACCGTCTCTCCAGCCTCTCCATCTTTTTTTTTAAATATAAGAAAACTTTTTGTGGCTCTATAATGCTCAATATGTATGCAAACCATATTTTCATTATTTATCTGACAGTAAGTATTTCTGTAGATTCTGTATCTTAGATATATTGAATAATGAAACACTGAGCATGCTCAGACAGGTATCTCGGTGATGTGTCAATGATGAATCTGCTGAGATAACATTTGTGCTCCTTTGGTTACTAGGCATCTTAGTTAGTTTCCTATCGCTGTAATAAGACATCATGACCAAGGCGACTTATAGAAGAGTTTAATGGAAGCTTGTAGTTTCAGAGGGGGAGTCCATGCTCATCATGAAATTGAGCATGGCTACAGGCAGGTAGGCAGACAGGCATAGCACTGGAGAAGTAGCTGAGAAAATACATCCTGATCCACAAGCACACGGTGGTGGGAGTAAGACACCGGGAATGGTATGGCCTTTTGAAACCTCACAGCCCTCCCTTCTGAGACAAACCTCCTTCAACAAGGCCACATCTCTTAAACTTCCCCAAATACTTCTATCAACTTGGGCCCAAGAATTCAAATATTTGAACCTGTGGGATCCATTCTTATTTAAACCACCATACTGGTTAGTCTGTCTGAACCTTGATCTATTCATCACAAAAATGTAATTGAATGAGAATCAGAATGATATCCATGAGACTATTCTTCTTTATTGTAATTCTACTATCATAGTTACATTTAATTAATGTCAAATTTCAAGAACCAGCTACATAAAAATGATCCAAACACTAGTCAGAAGCTCATATGTTTAGATGTCACCTTTCAGTATAAATGATCCATATTTATCCTTATAATGTCAGTAGATTTTCTGCAGCATCTAAATGGCCTGTCATTGTTATATTTAAATGGAGTCAAAACACATAAGTTCAAATATCCACTTCTAGGATATGTGGCCTGGACAAGGCATTTAATGTCTCTTTGTTTCAGAGTTCTTCTCTGTAAAACAAAGATAATATCAATCTCATCACAAAGATTAAATGATGACATGTTTGATAATATCTAGGAAAATGTGAGAGACCACAATAAACCTACTGTCATGTAAAAAGATAAAGTTTGATAAATACTGCAGATGTGGGAGTGGTGTGAGATTCTAAAGTCAGATACTAGATTGTGTTTTCTAAGCTTTATACCTTAACAAAGTACTGTTATCCCAACATGATCTAGAATTTTAGTTTCTGAGGAGTGAATTTCTCTCTAAATGTCTATTTTTTATAGGAGGAAGCTGGAAGTCAGCAGAACTGACTCACTGAGAATGCTCACAACCTGAGCTCCTGCTTCTTAACCAAGGACAATCATCACACCAATGTGGCCACACATGGACTAGGTTCATGTCACCATTCTTCTATGTGAATTCATCTTTTGAAAATAATTTTGCTATGATTTTTAATGCATAATAATTGTACCTGCACTTCACCGGGAAATTTTCATACATACAAACAGCTTTGACCGTATCCACCTCCCTTCACTTATCCTCACTTGATCCCCTTTACTTAATCACTTTTCCTGTACACAATTATTCCTCTTCCTTTTAATTTTTTATACAATGGAGAATCCTAACATTTCTCTTGCTACATCTCAGTTAATTACCATAATATGTTTTCTTTGAATTCCATATATGTTCTGGCAAACAATAGGCTTTTATTCTACTTCAAAATAGAAAAATATTCCATGGGTGATATAAACCACATTTTCTTTATCCATTGAGGCACACCAAGGCTGATTCTACAGCTTGGCTATTGTGAGTAGCACCATAGTAAATATGACTGTTCTGTTGAGGGACACAGTCCTCTGAGAAAAACAGCTCTCATCTTCATCTGATCAGCCACGACTACTTGCAAGCTTGTTGATTCTCACAGAGGATGAATGGAGAGTGTCAATGGACTCTCATCTGAGAAACAAGCCATAATTCTCAAGAATTTGTTTGCAATTCTTACCTAATACTGTGGCCTTGGTGTCTCCAGATGTGAGAGTGTATAGTCTGCATGAAAGTTAATTGAGAGAGACTCATTGATGGAAGTATGGGGAAGCAACCATCCATCCTTTGTAAAGTCTCTTCAGTGGTGCTATTCTGAGGTCACCTACATGTTTGTAAGCAACCTTCACCCAATAAACTCTTTGGTTCCCATGGTGAACTTGAGTGAAGTCTTACTTTGATTTGTTATTGCTACCTTGTGAGGAGGGAGTAGACTTTTCTCTCTCTCAAGAGAAGGAAATCACTTGCAGTATGATAAGGTAACCACACTCTCACCTTGTGGAGTTTATATGCACCTCTGAGTAACTGAATGAATTCATATCCCCGCTAAAACTGATAATTGTGTGTTCCCTCCATATCATTGCCAGAATTTTGTGTTAGCAGTCCTTACTGAGCCATCTCTCATAAGGGCTGAAAGCCACACTAATTTTTGGGTATAAAGATAACAGTTTAACGAGAACATTATTACTATGACCATTTAACAAAATGATGTTATTGCATTCTCCCCTAGGACCTAGAACCTAGCCAGCTACATGTTTTGGGACATTTAATGACACCAGACATAATTTACCTCTTGGACTATGGGCTTCAAATACAATCAGAAGTAGTTAGTTACTCCTATAGCATTTGGATACCAGAGAGCATATCTTCCCAGGATAGTCATTATTTTAACTCAAAGGGTTCAAAGATAGGTAAATGTTATATGACACTGTTCCCAAGGAGACATGAATAAATGTCTACTCACTCCAGATAGGTAACTCACAGCAGACCAAAATAAAATCACCAAAAATGTAAGTTGTTGAAGTAATGGGTTTTACTGAAGTCACTGACAGGAATGGTTAATTACAGGAGAAGATAGGACTTATGGTGGTTTGAATGAGAATGGCTGTGGTGGTATTGTGTTCCCTGAAATATTGTGCACCCTAATAAACTTATCTGGGATCAGAGACAGAACAGCTACTAGATACAAAGGCTAGAAAATGGTGGCACTCACACCTTTAATCCTAGCATTCCAGAGGCAGAAATCCATCTGTTTAAGGATATATCCAGGCATGGTGACACACGCCTTTAATCCCAAAAGTGAGCCTTTAATCCCAGGGAGTGATGGTAGAAGGCAGAAAGATATATAAGTCATGGAGACCAGAAACTAGAAGCATTTGGCTGGTTAAGCATTTGACTGCTTACGCATTTGGCAGGTTAAGCTTTAGGCTTTGAGCAGCAGTTTAGCTGAGAACCATTTGGATATGAGAATACAGTCTGAGGAAACACCAAGGCTGACTCTACAACTTGGCTATTGTGTTTCCAGTCTGAGGAAACAAGATCAGCTGAGAAGTTGGCCAGGTGAGGTTAGCTGTGGCTTGTTCTGTCTTTCTGATCTTCCAGTGTTCACCCCAATACCTGGCTCAGATGCTGTGGGATGTTCTGTATGGCAAATGTGTTGCTGATTGGTCAATAAATAAAATACTGATTGGCCATTGGCTAGGCAGGAAGTATAGGCGGGACAAGGAGGAGAATAAAGCTGGGAAGTGGAAGGCTGAGTCAGGAGACACTGCCAGCTGCCACGATGACAAACAGCATGTGAAGATGCCAGTAAGTCACGAGCCATGTGGCAAGGTATAGATTTATAGAAATGGATTAATTTAAGCTGTAAGAATAGTTAGCAAGAAGCCTGCCATGGCCATACAGTTTGTAAGCAATATAAGTCTCTGTGTTTACTTGGTCGGGTCTGAGCGGCTGTGGGACTGGCAGGTGAGAGAGATCTGTCCTGACTGTGGGCCAGGCAGGAAAACTTTAGCTACACTCAGGTTTGATTTTATTAATAAGACCTTAAGATTCTGCTACAAATGGTCTCCATAGACTCATATGTCTGAATGCTCCTTCTGCAATTGGTGAAATTATTTGGGTTTAAGAGCTGACACACTAGTGGAGATTTGTCACTAGGGGTGGTTTTTGCATTTTCAAAAGACCACACCATTCACATTGTCTCTCTGTCTCTCTGTCTCAATCTTTCTGTCTCCTTCACCTGTGGATCAGATCAAAGGTCACAGCTATGGCTCCAGTACTGTGCCAGCTGTAGTGCTGCAATGCTCCCTGCCATGAAGTTCACTGACTCTACTACCCTCTGGAACCATATGCTCAAATTTAAATTCATTAATTTATAACTCCCCTTGGAAATGGTCTTTTGTCACAGCACTAAAAAAGTGACTAAGACATGACTTAAAAAGCTCCATAATTTTAAGCCTGTGTTAAATAGGGGTGGTGACTCATACAACCTGGAAACTTGAAGCACAACTTGCAGGCAAGCTCCCAGGTTTCGTAATGTCTCTGGAATCTTGGCTTATCTCTTCTTCTTAAAGGCAACTTTCTCTTCTTTTACAGTATCTCTCAGTTGTCCTTCCTGCTTGTATGTACTTGGAGATGGAGGGTTCTAGTATATCTGTTTCAGGAATTTCCTGTAGCATTTGAGTACTTTACTTCCAGAAGTTAAGATATTTCTTGTGGGATGGAATGTTTCACCTCTTTTAGAACAACCTGTGCCTTAAGGAGCTTCCCTCTATGTTAAAAGTTTTCATCTTGGAAGAATCTGCCACACAACAGTAAGACAGCTGAAAATGTTTCTTCCCAGTATTTTGTGTAGAAAACTTAACAATCTGTGTTAACAAGTCAGTAGGGAGGAAGTTTCCTAGTCAGTATCTATTTTTTTTTCTCCATGTCTTACGATTCAAGTGTATGGTGTCCTCAACATTAGGGTCTTGCTATCAAGTTCTGAAAAGTGACCAAGAGCATATGGCATAATCTGTAATGGCTTGGATGATCTGTGAAACCACACAGATCAACATCTTCAAATAATATAACCCATTCCTGTCATTGGGCTTTTTAGATAGCCTGTAGTGAATTTGTGAGGTGTTACCCCTCTATACAGGGTTAATGTGATCATTCCACTGAAGCTCCCAAAATCTGTAAACTACAGTTTATGAAACTTCTACAGGAGAAAGTTTCCTTACGAATTGTCAAAAGAATTTAGTATTAGTTATCTCTCTCAATTCTCCCTCTTTCACTCTGCCTACCAATTCCTCACCCCATTCAGTCCTTCTTGTTCCATTAGTTCCTGTTCCACCTTCACAACATCTGTATTCTATCACCTATTTGTTGAAACTCCCCTACATGTGGACTTGTCCTAGTTTCTTCACTTCTGTGGGTACTCCATTTAAAAAACATATCTAAAGTTTCAAAGGTAGTATCTACATATAAGAGAAAATCTATGGCATTTGTCTTTTTGGATCTGCATTACTTCATTCAAAATGATTATGTCCAGTTCCATCCATTTACCTGAGAATGTCATAATTACATTCTTGACAGCAGAGTATTGCTCTATTTGTGTATATGTATAAAGTTTTCATTATCCACTCATTGATGAATGAATATGAAGACTAATTCCTCTGCCTGAATATTGTAAGTAAAACAGCAATGAATATGGATTAGCATATGTACTTGTAGGATATAGATTCCAATGGATTGGTTTGTTCTTGGTGGGATAGCAGTTCTGTTTGTTTTGTTTTCAATTTGACACAAACCTACTTTTTTCTGGGAAGAAGAAATCTTAATTAAGAAGATGAGTCCACAAGATTGCACAGTATATAAGCCTGTGGTGCATATTCTTGATTAATGATTAATATTGTAGGAAATAGTTAACTGTTTAGAGTGGTGCCACATATGGACAGGTAGTCCTAGGCTGTATAAGAAAACATGCTGGGCAAACCATATGGAGCAAGCCTGTAAGCAGTATCAGTATTCCTTCATAGCTTCTTTATTAGGTCTTGCCTCTATGTTCCTGCTTTTGATTCCTGCCCAGAATTCCCTCGGTGACTGAATACAACCTCAGAGCTACAACCTGAAATGAACCTTTTCCTCCATTAGTTGCTGTTTTGATGTATTATCACAGTCATTAAAAATCCCAACCAATGCAATCACCATTTTCACAAAGAGTGAGAGAGGTCTTCCCATCTGATATGTTTTTCAATTTCTTTCTTCAGTATCCTTAAGCTTTCAGTGTAGAATTGTTTCTCCCTTATTGTTCAATTTATTCTAAGATTTTAAAAAGTTACTGTGAATAGTTATGTTACCCAGTTTCTTTCTTTGTATCTGTATTGTTGATATATAAAAAGATTTTTGTGTTAATTTGTGTTGTGTTAGTTTTCTGGATGCACTTATCATTTGTGGAAGTTTTCCCATGGGCTTGTTAGGGTTTTTTCCATGCATATTATCATATCAACTGTAAGTAAAGATATTTTGACTTCTTCCTTTCCTGCCACTATCCCCTTTATCTACTTCTGTTGCATTATTTCTCTAGATAAGACTTCAAGCAATGTGGAACAGAAATAAGGAGAGTGGATATACTAGTCTTGTTCCAGACTTAAGAGGAAATGCTATGAGTCTATTTACTGTGGAATGTTAGCCATGGGCTTGTACATTTCCTTTTTTATGTTGAGATATTTCTCCCAGTTGCATAGCTTCTCCAAGAGTTTTATCACAAATAAGTATTGGATTTTGTCCAAGACCTTTTCTTTTTTTAATTAAGAAATTTTATTATTCATTTTATATACCAATCACAGACCCCCCTCTTCCCTTCCCCCACCCCTCCAGGCTTCCCTCACCAACCCACAGCTTCTCCAAGAGTTTTTATCATGAATAAGTATTGGATTTTGTCCAAGAACTTTTCTTTTTCTATTAATAAATTTTAGTATTCATTTTACCTACCAATCACAGATCCCCCTCTTCCCTCCTCCCACCCCTCCAGCCTTCCCCCACCCACCCATCCTTCATTCCCTTCAACAAGAAGATAAGGCCTCCCATGGGGAGTCAGCAGAGTCTGGTACATTCAGTAGAGGCAGGTCCAAGCTCCTCCCCCTGCACCAAGGCTGTGCAAGGTGTCCCACCATAGGTAGTGGGTTCCAAAAACCAGCTCATGCACCAGGGATCAAGGTCTTTTCTTTATCTAATTAGATGATGTGATTTTCTTATTCCATGGTGGATTATGACTATTGACTTAAGTATGCTGAAGTATCTTTAAGATGAAGCCAAATTTACCATGATAGATAATGCTTTTTTATTGATTATT